TGCTCCTGGGGGAGGGAGGGTTTGGGATCCGTGAGGGAGGGGCTGGGACCTCCAGGGGACCCCTGGGATCCATGGGGGGGGGCTGGGCCCTATAAAGTCCCCTTGGCCCCATAGAGGAGATCCTGGGCCCTACAGATCCTCTCAGCCCTATAGGGACTGTCCTGGACCCTACAGATCCTCTCAGCCCTATAGGGACTGTCCTGGGCCCTACAGATCCTCTTGGCCCTATAGGGACTGTCCCTGGCCCCATAGGAACCCTTCAGCCCCATAGGGACCATTTGACCCCAAAGGGACAGTCCTGGGCCCTACAGATCCCCTCGGCCCTATAGGGACTGTCCTGGGCCCTACAGATCCCCTCGGCCCTATAGGGACTGTCCTGGGCCCTACAGATCCTCTTGACCCTATAGGGACTGTCCTGGGCCCTACAGATCCTCTCGGCCTTACAGGGACTGTCCTGGGCCCTATAGGAACCCTTTAGCCCCAAAGGGACTGTCCTGGGCCCTACAGATCCCTCTTGGCCCTATAGGGACAACCCCAGGCCCCACAGAGACCATCTGGCCCCAAAGGGACTTTCCTGGGCCCTACAGATCCTCTTGGCCCCACAGGGACAGTCCCAGACCCTAAAAGGATCCCTTGGCCCCACAGGGACATTCCTGGGCCCCCCAGGGCTCCCTTGGCCCCATAGGGACAGTCCCAGACCCTACAAGGATCCCTTGGCCCCACAGGGACATTCCTGGCCCCCCAGGACTCCCTTGGCCCTATTTGGAGCCTCCTGGCCCCACAGGGATGGTCCCAACTCTGGAGGGATCCTCTTGGTCCCCTCTGGAAGCTCCTGCTCTCCTTGGTCCTAAATAAGGGGGGGGTCTCGGCCCCAAAAGGGTGGTCCCAGCTTTGTATGGACCCCCCCAAACCCATATAGGGGGTCCTGGTCCTAAAGGGACCCCCCCGAACCCATATGGAGGGTCCTGGTCCCCTATAGAGCTTGTGGTCCCATCTGGAGGGTCCTGGTCCTACAGGGACCCCTCCAATCCCATATGGGGGGTCCTGGTCCTGTAGGACCCCCCCAATCCCATATGGAGGGTCCTGGTCCTGTAGGACCCCCCCAATCCCATCTGGAGGGTCCTGGTCCTACAGGGACCCCCCCAATCCCATATGGAGGGTCCTGGCCCTGTAGGACCCCCCCAGTCCCATCTGGGGGGTCCTGGCCCTGTAGGACCCCCCCAATCCCATATGGAGGGTCCTGGCCCTGTAGGATCCCCCCAATCCCATATGGAGGGTCCTGGTCCTGTAGGACCCCCCCAATCCCATATGGAGGGTCCTGGTCCTGTAGGACTCCCCCAATCCCATATGGAGGGTCCTGGTCCTGTAGGACCCCCCCAATCCCATATGGAGGGTCCTGGTCCTGTAGGACTCCCCCAATCCCATATGGAGGGTCCTGGTCCCACAGGGACCCCCCAATCCCATCTGGGGGGTCCTCAGTCCCAAACAGAGACCCCTCCCCAGTCCCAAAAAGTCCCCCTGGCTGAATCCACACGGACAATCCCAGGATTCTTGGTGCCCCCAGGGGGGTCTCAGTGCCCCCAGGGGGGTCTTGGTGTCCCCAAGGGGGTCTCGGTGTCCCCAAGGGGGGGTCCCAGAGCCCCCCAAATCTCCCGGATCCTCCATCCCGTTCCCAGCTCCTGGAGAAGCTCCGGCTGTTCCTGATCCCACAGGGATAATCCCACAGGAGATGTCGCTGTCCTGGGGGGTGTCCTTGTTCCCAGGGGTTGTCCTTGTTCCCAGGGGTTGTCCTTGTCCCCAAGGGGGTCTCGATGTCCTGGGGGGTGGTCCTGGAGCCCCCCCAGACCCCTCTGTGCTCCTCAGCAGCTCCAGCTCTGGAGAAGCTCCTGGAGAAGCTCCGGCTGTTCCTGATCCCACAGGAACGATCCCACGGGAGATGTCGCTGTCCCAGGGGGTCTCTCTCAACCCTGGGGGGGTCTCTCAGCCCCTGGAGGGTCTCTCAGCCCCGAGGGGGTCTCTGAGCCCCGGGGGGGTGGTCCTGGAGCCCCCCCAGACCCCTCTGTCCCTCTCAGGGCTCCTCAGCAGCTCCAGCTCTGGAGAAGCTCCGGCTGTTCCCGATCCCACGAGGACGATCCCATGGGAGATGTCGCTGTCCTGGGGGGTATCTCTCAGCCCCGGGGGGGTCTCTGAGCCCCGGGGGGTGGTCCTGGAGCCCCCCCAGACCCCTCTGTGCCCCTCAGCAGCTCCAGCTCTGGAGAAGATCCTGGAGAAGCTCCGGCTGTTCCTGATCCCACAGGGATGATCCCACAGGAGATGTCGCTGTCCTGGGGGGGTGTCCTTGTCCCAGGGGGTCTCTCAGCCCCGGGGGTCTCTGAGCCCCGGGGGGGTGGTCCTGGAGCCCCCCCAGACCCCTCTGTCCCTCTCAGGGCTCCTCAGCAGCTCCAGCTCTGGAGAAGCTCCGGCTGTTCCTGATCCCACGGGGACGATCCCACAGGAGATGTCGCTGTCCCAGGGAGGTCTCTTTGTCCCAGGGGGTCTCTGAGCCCCGGGGGGGTGGTCGTGGAGCCCCCCCAGACCCTCCTGTCCCTCTCAGGGCTCCTCAGCAGCCCCGGCCCCGGAGAAGATCCTGGCGAAGCGCCGGAGCTGCCGCGCGGCCGACGTCGATTCCTGCTGGAGCCGCCGGTTGTTCTGCCGCAGGTTCGCCACCTCGGCCTGCAGGACCACCTTGTCCTGCTTCTCCTGGGGGGAAAAGGGACAGCCTGGACCAGGACACCCCCATTTGGGGTCCTGTGTCCTCATTTCCCCCCCTTTTGGGGTCCTGCACCCCCTTTTTGGGGTCCTGTGTCCTCATTTCCCCCTTTTTTGGGGTCCTTTCCATTCAATCTGCCCCCTTTTTTGGGGTCTGCAAGACCACCTTGTCCTGCTTCTCCTGGGGGAAAAGGGACAGCCTGGACCAGGACACCCTGATTTGGGGTCCTTTTGGGGTCCTACACCCCCTTTTTGGGGTCCTTTCCATTCAATCTGCTCCTTTTTGGGGTCCTGCACTCCCTGTTTGGGGTCTGGAGAACCCCCTTGTCCTGCTTCTCCTGGGGGGAAAAAGGGACAGCCTGGACCAGGACACCCCAATTTGGGGTCCTGTGTCCTCATTTCCCCCTTTTTTGGGGTCCTGTGTTCCCATTTCCCCCTTTTTTTGGGGTCCTGCATCCCCTTTTTGGGATCCTGCACCTGTTTTTTGGGTCTAGAAACCCCCCTTGTGCTGCTTCTCCTGGGGGGAGAGGGACAGCCTGGACCAGGACGCCCCGATTTGGGGTCCTTTTGGGGTCCTGCCCCCCATTTTTAGGGTCCCCAACCCCTTTTTGGGATCCTTTCCATTCAACCTGCCCCCTTTTTGGGGTCTGCAGGACCACCTTGTCCTGCTTCTCCTGGGGGGGAAAAGGGACAGCCTGGACCAGGACACCCCGAGTTGGGGTCCTTCTGGGGTCCTACACCCCCTTTTTGGGGTCCTGCACCCTCATTTCCCCCTTTTTTGGGGTCCTTTCCATTCAATCTGCCCCCTTTTTGGGGTCTGCAGGACCACCTTGTCCTGCTTCTCCTGGGGGGAAAAGGGACAGCCTGGACCAGGACACCCCCATTTGGGGTCCTGTGTCCTCATTTCCCCCTTTTTTGGGGTCCTACACCCCCTTTTTGGGGTCCTTTCCATTCAATCTGCCCCTTTTTGGGGTCCTGCACTCCCTGTTTGGGGTCTGGAGAACCCCCTTGTGCTGCTTCTCCTGGGGGGGAAAAGGGACAGCCTGGACCAGGACACCCCGATTTGGGGTCCTTTTGGGGTCCTACACCCCCTTTTTGGGGTCCTGCGTCCTCATTTCCCCCTTTTTGGGGTCTGCAGGACCACCTTGTCCTGCTTCTCCTGGGGAAAAAGGGACAGTCTGGACCAGGACACCCCCATTTGGGGTCCTGCACCCCCTTTTTGGGGTCCTGCACCCCCTTTTTGGGGTCCTTTCCATTCAATCTGCTCCTTTTTGGGGTCCTGCACTCCCTGTTTGGGGTCTGGAGAACCCCCTTGTGCTGCTTCTCCTGGGGGAAAAGGGACAGCCTGGACCAGGACACCCCCATTTGGGGTCCTGCACCCCCTTTTTGGGGTCCTGCGTCCTCATTTCCCCCCCTTTTGGGGTCCTACACCCCCTTTTTGGGGTCCTTTCCATTCAATCTGCCCCCTTTTTTGGGGTCTGCAGGACCACCTTGTCCTGCTTCTCCTGGGGAAAAAGGGACAGCCTGGACTAGGACACCCCCATTTGGGGTCCTTTTGGGGTCCTACACCCCCTTTTTGGGGTCCTGTGTCCTCATTTCCCCCCCTTTTTGGGGTCCTTTCCATTCAATCTGCCCCCTTTTTGGGGTCTGTAGGACCACCTTGTCCTGCTTCTCCTGGGGGGGAAAAGGGACAGCCTGGACCAGGACACCCCAATTTGGGGTCCTTTTGGGGTCCTGCACCCCCTTTTTGGGGTCCTACACCCCCTTTTTGGGATCCTTTCCATTCAATCTGCCCCTTTTTGGGGTCCTGCACTCCCTGTTTGGGGTCTGCAGGACCACCTTGTCCTGCTTCTCCTGGGGGGAAAAGGGACAGCCTGGACCAGGACACCCCGATTTGGGGTCCTTTTGGGGTCCTGCCCCCCATTTTTAGGGTCCCCAACCCCTTTCTGGGGTCCTTCCCCCCATTTTTGGGGTCCCCACTCACTTTTTTTGGGTCCTTTGCTCTCAACTCCTCCCTCTTTTTAGGGTCCTGCCTCCCCTTTCTGGGCTCCCCACTCACTTTTTGGGGTCCTGCCCCCCCTTTTTTGGGGTCCTGCCCCCCCTTTTTTGGGGTCCTTTGCCCCCCACCCCCCCCTTCCTTTGGGATTTTGGCCCCCACCTGTTTTTTGGGGTCCTACACCTCATTTTGGGGTCCCCACCACCCTTTTAGGCTCCTGCCCCCATTTTTAGGGTCCCCCCTCACTTTTTCTGGGTCCTTTGCCCTCAACTCCTCCTTCTTTTTAGGGTCCTGCCCCCCTTTTGGGGTCCCCACTCACTTTTTCAGGGTCCTTTCCCCCCAGCCCCCTCTTTCTTTGGGATTTCGGCCCCCTGGTTTTGGGGTCCCTCCCCAGTTTTGGGGCCCCCCTTCCCTCACCTTTTCCAGGTCACTGTGGAGCTGTTTCAGCATCGCCTCCAGCTGGGAAACCTTCCTGGCAGGTCCAGGGGGCTGGGAGGTGACTGGGGAGGCACAGGGAGATTTGGGGACCCCCAGCCTTGGGAGGGGTCCCCAAGATCCTCCCCTTTGCTCCCCCACCCCCAAATTTCAAGGGAAAGAAACACCCTCAGGGTGATCCCCAAAACAACCCCATACCCCATAAGATTTTGGGGACCCCCACCCCAAGGAGGGGACCCTGGGTGTCCCCCACCCCAAAGGGGTTTGAGGATCCCCCAGCCCTCAGTGCTCCCAAAAAACCCTTTTGGGGTCTCCCCTTCAGTTTTGGGGTCCTTTGTACTCGATCTCCCCCTTTTTAGGGTCCCACCCCCTTTTTGGGGTCCCACCCCCTTTTAGGGTCCCCACTCACTTTTAGGGTCCCACACCCCATTTTGGGGTCTTCCCTTACTTTTTGGGGTCTTTTTCCTCAATCCTCCCCCTTTTGCATTTAATTCCCCCAATTTTGGGTTCCCACCCCCCTTTTGGGGTTCCCACCCCACTTTTGGGTTTCCCACCCCCTTTTTGGGTTCCCACCCCTTTTGGGTTCCCCTTCCTCCTTTGGGTTTCCCACCCCCTTTTGGGTTCCCCTTCCCCCTTTTGGGTTTCCACCCACCTTTTGGGGTCCTGCAGCCCCTTTTCAGTTCCCACCCACCCTTTTTGGGTTCCCACCCCCCTTTTTGGTCCTGCACCCCTTGCAGTTCCCACCACCCCTTTTTGGGGTCCCCCTCACACCCAAATGGGAGGCACACCCAAATTTTGGGGGTATTTTGGGAGTACCTGAGGGAGGGGAGGTCGGGGAGCCTCTCGGGGGCACGGGGGTCCAGGAGGCTCAGCGGGGGTCCGTGAGGAGGAACAGGGACACGGCTCTCTGCACTGGGGAGGGGGTCCAGCACCCCAAAAACACCCCCAAAACACCCCAAAATACCCCAAAAACACCCCAAAAACACCCCAAAATACCCCCAAACACCCCAAAATACCCCAAAGATACAAAAAACCACCCCCAAACACCTCCAAAAATGCCCCCAAACCACCCAAAAATACAAAAACCACTTAAAATACCCCCAAACACCCAAAATACTCCCCCAAAATGCCCCAAAGCACAAAAAACCACCCCCATTTAAAACACCCCAAAATGCCCCAAAAATGCACAAAAACCACCCCAAAATACCCCAAAACACTTGAAATACCCCAAACACCCAAAAATACAAAAAACCACCCAAAAATACCCCCAAAACACCCCAAAATGCCCCAAAACCACCCCAGGAATGCCAGACCGCTTCCAAAGATGCTGCGAGGCTTAGCATGCTTGACGGTGCCCAGAAGCACAGAGGCACTTTAGAGTGTACAAAGGCGCCCCAAGTGCCCCACAGATGCGCAAGGCCTCGGTGCACAGGTGCGCCCAAGGCGCTCCGGAGTAACCCCCGAGGCGCCCCAGATCTTTTTGGTAACGCAGGCGCTAGGATAGCGCCCGAAGTGCAGGGCATCAGATGCTGAATGCCCCAAGACGCATCAGATGCACAGGCCCACTTCCCAGAGGTACTTTGACCATACAGTGCTAGACCATCATGACGCCCACAAAGATCGTCGCCGTATCTTTAGAGTACCGCCAGGAGTCCCAGGTTCATCACGGCCTTCTGTCTACAGATCACGCTTAGTCACTGATTCCCGCCCAATTCCCACCCCCGAGATCCCCCAGGACCCACACACTTTGCTGGGTTCCTCTGACCCATTGCGCCATCCCCAAGATCCCTCCCCGGCTCATTCTCCCTTTAAATCCACTCTTAATCCCCCAAAAATCCCTCAGTCTCCTCAAACCCCAAAATCCCCCAGCCCCTTTCCAGCCCCAAATCTCCCTTCACCCCCAAATCCCTCCCCAAATCCCCTTCACTCCCCAAATCCCCCCAGCCCCTTTCCACCCCCAAATCCCTCCAGCCCCCTCAACCCCCAAATTCCCTCCAGCCCCATTTCACCTCCCAAATCCTCCCAAATCCCCCCAGCCCTTCCCACTCCCAAGTCCCCTCCAGCCCCCTCAACCCCCAAATTCCCTCAGCCCCATTTCAGCCCCCAAATCCCCTCCCAAATCCCCCAGCCCCTTTTCCACCCCCAAATCCCCCTCTCACCCCCAAATCCCTCCCCAAATCCCCCTCAACCCTTTCCACCCCCAAATCCCCCCAAATCACCCCCAGACCCCTTTGCCTCCCAAATTCCCCCAGCCCTTCCCACCCCCAAATCCTCCAACCCCCTCAACCCCCAAATTCCTCTCAGCCCATTTCACCCCCAAAATCCCGTCCCAAATGCCTCCAGCCCTTTCCACCCCCAAATCCCTTCACCCCCAAATTCCCCCAGTCCTTTCCACCCCCAAATCCCTCCCAAATCCCCCAGCCTTCCCACCCCCAAAATCCCCTTCACCCCCAAATTCCCCCTAGCCCTTCCCACCCCCAAATCCCTCTCAAGTCGCTCCTTACTCCCAAATCCCCCAGAACCCTTCCCACCCCAAAATTCCCCTCCCCAGCTCCTTCTCACCCCCAAATCTCCCCTTCACCCCCAAATCCCCCAGCCCTTCCCACCCCCAAATCTCCCTTCACCCCCAAATTCCTCCCCAGCCCTTTTCACCCCAAAATCCCTCCCCAGCTCCTTCTCATTCCCAAATCCACCTCTCATCCCCAAAATCCTCAATCTCCCTCAACCCCAAAATCCTCCCAGCCCATTTCAGCCCCCAAATTCCCTCCCAAATCCCTCCCAGCCTTCCCACCCCCAAATCCCCTCTCCCCCAAATCCTCCCCAATCCCTCCAGCCCTTTCACCCCCAAATCACCCCCAGACCCTTTGCCTCCCAAATTCCCCCCAGCCCTTCCACCCCCAAATCCCCTCAACCCCCTCAACCCCCAAATTCCCTCAGCCCCATTTCAGCTCCCAAATCCCCCAGCCCCTTCTCACCACTCAAATCCACCCTTCATCCCCAAAATCCCCTCAGCCCCCTCAACCCCCAAATTTCCCCCAACCCCATTTCAGCCCCCCAAATTCCCTCCCAAATCCCCCAGCCCTTTCTAACCCCCAAATCCCTCTCCAAATCCCTCCTTTACCCCCAAATCCCCCAGGCCCTTTCCACTCCCCAAATCCCTCCTTCATCCCCAAATTCCCTCCCAGCCCTTCCACCCCCAAAATCCCCTTCACCCCCAAATCTCCCTTTCACCCCCCAAATCCCCCAGCCCTTCCCACCCCCAAATCTCCTTCACCCCCAAATCCCCCAGCCCCTTTCTAACCCCAAATCTCTCCCTTCACCCCCAAATCCTTCCCCAAATCCATAACTCTCCCAGACCCCCTTTGCCCTAAATCCCCCAAATCTTGCCTTCATCCCTCAAATCCCTCCTTCACCCCCAAATCCTCCCCAGCCCCTTCCCACCCCCAAATCTCCCCTTCACCCCCAAATCCCCCAGCCCCTTCCCACCCCCAAATCTCCCCTTCACCCCAAATCCTTCCCCAAATCCCCCAGACCCCCTTTACCCCCAAAACCTCCCCAAATCTTGCCTTAGCCCCCAAATTCCCTCCCAGCCCCTTTCCACCCCCAAAATCCCCCTTCACCCCCAAAATCCCCCCAGGTCCTTCCCACCCCCCAAAATCCCCCAATTTGGGGTCCCCCACCTTCGTAGGCCTTGGCAGCGCTGACCAGGCTGGCCCATTCCAGCCCCGCCGTGTCGGGCAGGGGGATCAGCCCGGGGTCCATCCGGCACAGGGGCAGCTCTGGGGACACCCCAGGGGCTGGGGGGACACCCCAAAATCACCCACGGCACCAAAACATCCCAAAACAACCCCAAAACGACCCCAAAAACATTCACATCCTTCACGGGAAACCCAAATGTCACAGTGCCCAAAACATCCCCAAAACAACCCCAAAAACATTCACATCCTTCATGGGATACCCAAATATCAGTCATGGTACCAAAACATCCCAAAACAACCCCAAAAACATTCACATCCTTCATGGGATACCCCAAAATCAGTCATGGCACCAAAACATCCCAAAACAACCCCAAAAACATTCACATCCTTCAGGGGATACCCCAAAATCATTCACGGCACCAAAACATCCCAAAACCGCCCCAAAAACATTCACATCCTTCAGGGGAAACCCCAAAATCACTCATGGTACCCAAAACATCCCAAAACACCCCAAAACAACCCCAAAAACATTCACATCCTTCATGGGATACCCCAAAATCACTCACGGCACCAAAACGACCCCAAAACACCCCAAAAACATTCACATCCTTCAGGGGATACCCCAAAATCAGTCATGGCACCAAAACATCCCAAAACATTCACATCCTTCAGGGGACACCCCAAAATCACTCATGGTACCCAAAACATCCCAAAACACCCCAAAACAACCCCAAAAACATTCACATCCTTCATGGGATACCCCAAAATCACCCACGGCACCAAAACGACCCCAAAACATTCACATCCTTCAAGGGACACCCCAAAATCAGTCACAGCACCAAAACGACCCTAAAATAGTCACATCCTTCATGGGATACCCCAAAATCACTCACGGCACCCAAAACAACCCCAAAACAACCCCAAAACATTCACATCCTTCAGGGAATACCCCAAAATCACTCACGGCACCCAAAACAACCCCAAAACAACCCCAAAAACATTCACATCCTTCAGGGGACACCCCAAAATCAGTCATGGCACCAAAACATCCCAAAACATTCACATCCTTCAGGGGACACCCCAAAATCACTCATGGCACCAAAATGACCCCAAAACACCCCAAAACATTCACATCCTTCAGGGGATACCCCAAAATCACCCATGGCACCAAAATGACCCCAAAACATTCACATCCTTCATGGGACACCCCAAAATCACTCATGGCACCAAAATGACCCCAAACAACCCCAAAAACATTCACATCCTTCATGGGATACCCCAAAATCAGTCATGGCACCAAAATGACCCCAAACAACCCCAAAACATTCACATCCTTCAGGGGAAACCCCAAAATCACTCATGGCACCCAAAACATCCCAAAACATTCACATCCTTCATGAGATACCCAAATATCAGTCATGGCACCAAAACATCCCAAAACCACCCCAAAACATTCACATCCTTCATAGGATACCCCAAATTCACTCACGGCACCAAAACAACCCCAAAACGACACCAAAACATTCACATCCTTCAGGGGAAACCCCAAAATCACCCACGGCACCAAAACATCCCAAAACAGCCCCAAAACAACCCCAAAACATTCACATCCTTCAGGGGATACCCCAAAATCACTCATGGCACCCAAAATGACCCCAAACAGCCCCAAAACATTCATATCCTTCAGGAGATACCCCAAAATCACCCACAGAACCCAGAACAACCCCAAAACACCCCAACAACCCCAAAACATTCACATTCTTCATGAGATACCCCAAAATCACTCACGGCACCCAAAACATCCCAAAACGGCCCCAAAAACATTCATATCCTTCATGGGAAACCCAAATATCAGTCATGGCACCAAAACATCCCCAAACACCCCAAAACATTCACATCCTTCAGGGGATACCCCAAAATCACTCACAGCACCAAAATGACCCCAAAACGACCCCAAAAACATTCATATCCTTCAGGGGACACCCCAAAATCACCCACGGCACCAAAACGACCCCAAAACATTCACATCCTTCAAGGGACACCCCAAAATCACCCATGGCACCAAAACATCCCAAAACAACCCCAAAACATTCACATCCTTCATGGGAAACCCCAAAATCACTCATGGTACCCAAAACCACCCCAAAACACCCCAAAAACATTCACATCCTTCAGGGAATACCCCAAAATCAGTCATGGCACCAAACATCCCAAACACCCCAAAAACATTCACATCCTTCATGGATACCCCAAAATCAGTCATGGCACCAAAATGACCCCAAACAACCCCAAAACATTCACATCCTTCAGGGGAAACCCCAAAATCACTCATGGCACCCAAAACATCCCAAAACATTCACATCCTTCATGAGATACCCAAATATCAGTCATGGCACCAAAACATCCCAAAACCACCCTCAAAACATTCACATCCTTCATAGGATACCCCAAATTCACTCACGGCACCAAAACAACCCCAAAACGACACCAAAACATTCACATCCTTCAGGGGAAACCCCAAAATCACCCACGGCACCAAAACATCCCAAACAGCCCCAAATAACTCTAAACATTCACATCCTTCAGGGATACCCTAAAATCACTCATGGCACCCAAAATGACCCCAAACAGCCCCAAAACATTCATATCCTTCAGGAGATACCCCAAAATCACCCACAGAACCCAGAACAACCCTAAAACACCCCAACAACCCCAAACATTCACATTCTTCATGAGATACCCCAAAATCACTCACGGCACCCAAAACATCCCAAAACGGCCCCAAAAACATTCATATCCTTCATGGGAAACCCAAATATCAGTCATGGCACCAAAACATCCCCAAACACCCCAAAACATTCACATCCTTCAGGGATACCCCTAAAATCACTCACAGCACCAAAATGACCCCAAACAACCCCAAAACATTCACATCCTTCAGGGGACACCCTAAAATCACTCATGGCACCAAAACGAACCCCAAAACATTCACATCCTTCATAGGACACCCCAAAATCACCCATGGCACCAAATCACCCTAAACAACCCCAAAACATTCACATCCTTCAGGGAATACCCCAAAATCACTCATGGTACCCAAAACCACCCCAAAACACCCCAAAAACATTCACATCCTTCAGGGAATACCCCAAAATCAGTCATGGTACCCAAAACCACCCCAAAACACCCCAAAATATTACATCCTTCAGGATACCTCAAAATCAGTCATGGCACCAAAACTCCTAAACACCCTAAAACATTCACATCCTTCATGGGAAACCCAAATATCAGTCACGGCACCAAAACATCCCCAAAACACCCCAAAACATTCACATCCTTCAGGGGATACCCCAAAATCACCCACGGCACCAAAACATCCCAAAACATCCCAAAACGACCCCAAAACATTCACATCCTTCACGGGAAACCCCAAAAGTCACAGCCCCCAAAACAACCCCAAATTCCCTCCTAAATCCCCCTTTCCATCCCTCAGACCCCCAAATTCCCCCCAAACCCTTTCACCCCCAAACACCTCAAACACCCCAAACTCCCCAAATCCCCCCCAAATTCCCCTTCCCACCCCTCAAATCCCCTTTCCCACCCCCAAACCCTCAAATCTCCCCTCACACCCCAAATTCCCCTTTCCATCCCCCAAACCCCCAAATTCCCCCCAATCCCCACTTCCTCAAATCCCTCTTTCCCACCCCCAAACACCCCCCAAATTCCCTTTGACCCCCAAATCCCCCAATTCCCACTCAAACCCCCTTTCCCACCCTCCAAACACCCCAAATTCCCCCTAAATCCCCCAATTCCCTCAAATCCCCCTTTCCCACCCCAAACACCCCCTAAATCCCCTTGACCCCCCAAATCCCCCAGTTCCCCTCAAATCCCTTCCCACCCCAAACCCCCATTCCCCTGACCCCAATTGCCACTCAAACCCCCTTTCCCACCCCCAAACACCCCTAAATCCCCCTTTGAACCCCCAAATCCCCCAATTCCCACTCAAACCCTCTTTCCCACCCCCAAACCCCAAATTCCACCCTTGACACCCCAAATTCCCCTTTCCATCCCCAAAACCCCCAAATTCCCCCTAAATCCCCATTTCACCCCTCAAATCCCCTTTCCCACCCCCAAACACCCAAATTCCCCTTTGACCCCCAAATCCCCCAATTCCCACTCAAACCCCTCAAATCCCCTCCTGACACCCCAAATTCCCCCAAGCCCCCAAATCTCCCTTAAATCCCCCTTTTCACCCAAATCCCCTTTCAACCCCCAAATCCCTCCCAAACCCCCAAATTCCTCCTAAATCCCCCTTTCCATCCCCCAAACCCCCAAATTCCTCCTAAATCCCCATTTCCACCCTCAAATCCCCTTTCCCACCCCCAAACCCCCAAATTCCCTTTGACCCCCAAACACCCCAAATTCCCTCTTAAATCCCCCAACTCCCTTTGACCCCCAAATCCCCCAATTCCCACTCAAACCCCCTTTCCCACCCCCAAACCCCCAAATTCCCCTTTGACCCCCCAAATCCCCCAATTCCACTCAAACCCCCTTTCCCACCCCCAAACCCCCCAAATTCCCCTTTGACCCCAAATCCCCAATTCCCACTCAAACCCCCTTTCCCACCTCCAAACCCCCAAATCCTCCCTTGACCCCCAAATCCCCCAATTCCACTCAAACCCCTTTCCACCCCCAAACACCCCCTAAATCCCCCAAATCCCCCCTCTGACCCCCCAAGCCCCCTCACCCTTCCTGTCCTGGGGGTGCTGCCGGCGGCTGGGCAGGGTGCTGGAGGGATAAACCCCCGGGAACGCCTCGGGATCCAGGGTTGGGATGCGGGATTTGGGGTCGGGGGGGTCCCGGCGCCCCCCGCACAGACTCTCGTCCGACAGCGTCCTCTGCAGGGGCTGCACGGGAATTTGGGGGGGGGTCACCCCTCTGGGGGAGGGAAAGGGGAGGGAAAAAGGCTGGGAATTTCGGGAATTCCCTCTCACAGGGGGGGTTTCCGGCTCGGGGGCCGAGGAATCCATGAGGATGAGGCGCTTCAGGTCGTCCTCGATGCTGGATTTGGGGGCGCGCCGGGGGGAGCGGAGGTCGCGGAGCGAGGCCCGGAGACGGGGCTGGCCGAAGACATTCACCTGTCTGGGGGGAATATGGGGAGTGGGGGATCCCAAAATCCATGGGGGAATCCCAAAATCCATGGGGGACACCCCAATCCTGAGGGGAACCCCAAAAATCCCAGGGGTGAAGGTCCCGGAGATGGGGCTGGTTGAAGACATTCACCTGCCTGGGGGGGGGAAATGGGGATTGGGGGATCCCAAAATCTATGGGGGAATCCCAAAATCCATGGGGGACACCCCAATCCTGAGGGGAACCCAAAAAAACCCCACAATCCTGAGGGGAACCCCAAAAAATCCCAGGGCTGAAGGTCCCGGAGATGGGGCTGGCCGAAGACATTCACCTGCCTGGGGGGGGGAAATGGGGATTGGGGGATCCCAAAATCCATGGGGGAATCCCAAAATCCATGGAGGACACCCAAAATCCCAAAGGGATCCCCCAATCCTGAGGGGAACCCAAAAAAAACCCACAATCCTGAGGGGAACCCCAAAAATCCCAGGGGTGAAGGTCCCGGAGACAGAGCTGGCCGAAGACATTCACCTGTCTGGGGGGGGGAAATGGGGATTGTGGGATCCCAAAATCCATGGGGGACACCCCAATCCTGAGGGGAACCCAAAAAAACCCCACAATCCTGAGGGGAACCCCAAAAAATCCCAGGGGTGAAGGTCCCAGAGACAGGGCTGGCCGAAGACATTCACCTGTCTATGGGGGGGAAATGGGGATTGGGGGATCCCAAAATCTATGGGGGAATCCCAAAATCCATGGGGGACACCCCAAATCCCAAAGGGATCTCCCAATCCTAAAGGGAACCCCAAAAATCCCAGGGGTGAAGGTCCCGGAGACGGGGCTGGCCGAAGACATTCACCTGTCTGTGGGGGGGAAATGGGGATTGGGGGATCCCAAAATCTATGGGGGAATCCCAAAATCCATGGGGGACACCCCAATCCTGAGGGGAACCCAAAAAAACCCCACAATCCTGAGGGGAACCCCAAAAAATCCCAGGGGTGAAGGTCCCGGAGATGGGGCTGGTCGAAGACATTGACCTGTCTGGCGGGGGGAAATGGGGATTGGGGGATCCCAAAATCTATGGGGGAATCCCAAAATCCATGGGGGACACCCCAAATCCCAAAGGGATCCCCCAATCCTAAAGGGAACCCCAAAAATCCCAGGGGTGAAGGTCCCGGAGACGGGGCTGGCCGAAGACATTCACCTGCCTGGGGGGGGGGGAATGGGGATTGGGGGATCCCAAAATCCATGGGGGAATCCCAAAATCCATGGGGGAAACCCCAATCCTGAGGGGAACCCAAAAAATCCCAGGGGTGAAGGTCCCGGAGACGGGGCTGGCCGAAGACATTCACCTGTCTATGGGGGGGAAAATGGGGATTGGGGGATCCCAAAATCCATGGGGGAATCCCAAAATCCTACAGGGATCCCTCAAACACCCCAAAAATCCCATTTGAGGCTCCTTTGCCTTTGACCCCCTTTTTTAGGGTCCTGCCCCCCCTTTTTGGGCTCCTGTGCCCTCAATCCCCATTTTTGGGGTCCTGTCCCCCATTTTGGGCTCCTGTGTCCTTTGACCCCATTTTCAGGGTCCTGCCCCCATTTTGGGTTCCTGTGCCCCTGACCCCCTTTTTGGGGTCTTGCCCCCCCATTTTGGGCTCCTGTGCCCCTGACCCCATTTTTGGGGTCCTGCCCCCCCTTTTTTGGGCTCCTGTGCCCTCGATCCCATTTTTGGGGTCTTGCCCCCCCATTTTGGGCTCCTGTGCCCCTGACCCCATTTTTGGGGTCCTGCCCCCCCTTTTTTGGGCTCCTGTGCCCTCGATCCCATTTTTGGGGTCCTGCCCCCCCATTTTGGGCTCCTGTGCCCTCGATCCCCATTTTCAGGGTCCCGCCCCCTGTTTTTGGGGTCCCCCCACTCACTTTCTGGGCTCGGGGGGCTCCTCGGGCCGTTTCCATCCCGGCGCCGCCGCCGCTTTGCTCCTGCCGGGGGTCTTGGAGAAGAAGGATTTGGGGACGGAAGCGGAAAGTTGGGGGGCGGCCGAGGAGGGGAGGAGGGGCCGGGGGCTGGAACTGCCGGGAAAAGCGGGATCACCACGTGGGAATTCCCAAAAAAATCACCACCCCCCTGCCGATCCAGGGGGTGTGGGGGATCCAGGGATGAGGGGGACGCCGCCCCCACCTGGGCTTGAAGGCGTCGGGGGCGGCGGAATTCCCGCTTTTCTGCCGGCAGCTCTTCCCGGAGGGGGGGGACGGATCCCGCCTGGAATCGGCGGCGCCGCCGCTGCTGGATTTGGGAATCTTGGCGTCCCGCTGGGGGCCGGCTCTGGCGGGGGCGTCGATGCCGCTGTCGCTGGAGCCGCCCTTGGTGGGATTGGGGCTGGGATTGGGGTCGGGATCGGGGTCGGAGCCCGCGGGATCGGCCGGGTCGGACCAGCGCTCGTCGCTGTGGCCGCTGGAGGCGGTGCTGGACAGGGTGTTGGTGCTGGAATGGCTGGAATACGGCGGCTCCCCCGGCTGGAAAATGTTGGGAAGGCCCGGGGGGGGTTGGATTTTTGGGGGGGATGAGAAAGGGAAAAGGGCAAGGGGGAAGGTGGGACCATGAATGGCTGGGGCTCCCGGAATTCCTGGGGCTCCCGGAACCCCTGGTGCTCCCAAAATTCCCGAAGTCCCTGGTGGTCCCAGAATCCCTGGTGCTTTTGGGATCTCCTGGTGGTCCCCAAAATCCCTGGAGCTCCTGGAATCCCTGGTGCTCCCAAAATTGCTGGTGGTCCCAAAATCCCTGGTGCTTTTGGAATCTCCTGATGCTCCCAGAATCCCTGGTGGTCCCAAAATCCCTGGTGCTCTTGGAATCTCCTGATGCTCCCAGAATCCTTGGGGCTCCCAAAATCCCTGGTGCTCTTGGAATCCCCAGGTGCTCCCAAAATCCCTGGTGCTCTTGGAATCCCCAGGTGCTCCCAAAATCCCTGGTGCTCTTGGAATCCCCTAGTGTTCCCAGGATCCCTGGTGGTCCCAGAATCCCTGGAGCTCCCAAAATCCCTGCTGTTCCCGGGATCCCTGCTGTTCCCAGGATCCCTGCTGTTCCCAGGATCCCTGCTGTTCCCGGGATCCCCGGATCTCCCGGCTCACCTTGGAATGCCTGCTGGGCGAGTCCTTCCCGCCGGGCTCCTGCCGGCCTGGCCGTTTCCCGCCGGGCAGCCGCGACTGTGCCGGGACGTGCCAGAGGGGCTCTGGAATTCCAGAGGCGCCAAATCACTGGGATAACCCCCCCCTCATCCAAGGGGTATCCCAGGATATCCCGAGCCCTCCTGATGTTCCCATACCCGGTTTGTGGCGCTCCATGGTGCCCTCGTGGCTGCTGATCCCTCCTCCGGACGAGGAGTCGTCGTGGCTGGAGTGTCCGGAGTGTCCGGAGGAGTGTCCGGAGTGTCCGGAGGAGTGTCCGGAGTGCGGCTCCCCCGGGAACGCCGAGCGCCCGCCGTACCTACCCCGGCAAAGAAAACTCAGGAATGACCCCCCCATCCCAAAATCCCAGCGTTCCCCTCCCAAATTCCCCCCCAGTGCCCATTCCCACCTCTCCGGGAGGGTTTGTAGCGAGCGTAGGCCGTGCCGGCGCCGCCGGGGGCTGAGAAGCTTCCGGAAGGTTGCCGGTAGGGCTGTCCCGGCGCGCCGGGGGCGGCCTGGGGGGTCTCCGGGAAGCTCAGGGGTCTGGGTGGGAAAAGCAAGGTGGGGATGTGAGCGAGGGATGATGCTGATATCACCAGTGTGTCCCCCCCACACCTGCACCCCCCCACCCGCAGCCCCCTCACCTCTTGCCGTGGGGCGGCTCCCGGTGCGGTGCCGGCGGGGGTTTGGCGCGTTTGGGCGCGGTGGGGCCGCTCCACTGCCAGCCCGCGCTGCTGCGGAACGGCGGCCGGAACGCCGGGAACGGCTCCGGCTCCGCCTTGGGCTCCGCCGCGCCCGAGCCCAGCGCCAGAGACTCCGACCAGCCCCTGCCGACATGGAGTGGGGTCAGGGGGGACAGTGGGGACATGGGGGACATGGGGGAAGGGGACTCTGACCAGCCCCTGCCAACATGGAGTGGGGTCAGGGGGACACGGGGAAGGGATTTGGATCAGCCCCTGCCAACATGGAGTGGGGTCAGGGGACACAGGGGACACAGGGAAGGGGATTCTAACCAGCCCCTGCAACACACACAGGGTCAGGGGACATGGGGACATGGGGACATGGGGACATGGGGAAGGGATTTGGACCAGCCCCTGCCGACATGGAGTGGGGTCAGGGGACATGGGGACACGGGGACACGGGGAAGGGGACTCTGACCAGCCCCTGCCGACACACAGGGGTCAGGGGACACGGGGGACACGGGGGAAGGGGATTCCAAGGGATTCGACCAGCCCCTGCCGACACACACAGGGGTCAGGGGGACATGGGGACACGGGGAAGGGGATTCCAACCAGCCCCTGCCGACACACACAGGGTCAGGGGGACATGGGGACACAATGGGGAAGGGATTCGGACCAGCCCTGCTGACACACACAGGGTCAGGGGACATGGGGGACACGGGGAAGGGGATTCCAACCAGCCCCTGCCACACATCGGACAGGGGGTCAGGGGGACAGTGGAAACATGGGGGACACGGGGAAGGGGATTTGGACCAGTCCCTGCTGACACACACAGGGGTCAGGGGACATGGGGGACATGGGGAAGGGGATTCCAACCAGCCCCTGCTGACACACACAGGGTCAGGGGACAGTACACAGGGGACACAGGGAAGGATTCCAGGGATTCAGACCAGCCCTGCTGACACCCAGACGGGTCAGGGGACATGGGGACACGAGGAGGGATTCCAAGGGGACTCCGACCAGCCCCTGCCGACACACACAGGGGCTAGGGGACACGGGGACATGGGGAAGGGGCAGCACGGCCGGCACAGGGGTGGCACAGGGGTGGCACAGGGATGGCAACAAAGGCACAGGGAGGGTACAGATGGCACCAAGGGCACAAGGATGGCATGGATAGAGCCCATGGCACCCATGTCATCCCAGTGTCACCCACGTCACCCCAGTGTCACCCACGTCACACCAGTGTCACCCATGTCACCCCCGTCACCCATATCACACCAATGTCACCCCAGTGTTACCCCCGTCATCCCAATGTCACCCCCATCACCCTAGTGTCACCCATGTCACCCCAGTGCCACCCCGTCACCCCAGTGTCACCCCAGTGTCACCCCAGTGTCACCCATGTCACATCAATGTCACCCATGTCACCCCAGTGCCACCCTTGTCACCCCAGTGTCACCCCTGTCACCTGCAGGGTGTCCATCCTCATGTGGCACACCGATGATCATCCATGACGGTGCACCAATGTCATCCATGTCACACCCGTGTCACCCACGTCACCCCACTGTCACCCATGTCACACCAGTGCCACCCACGTCACCCATATCACACCAGTGTCACCCTCAGTGCCCCATCACCCCTGTACCTGCGGGGCGCCCCGTCCTCGTGGGGGGGCACGATGACCACCCTGACGGTGACGGAGGTGCGCAGCAGGTCGATCATCTGCTCGTGGTTCAGCGCCACAGCCACCACCCCCATCACACCCCCGTCACCTCAGTGTCACCCCTGTCACCCCCATCACCCCAGTGTCACCCCAGTGTCACCCCAGTGTCACCCCAGTGTCACCCCTGTCACCCCAGTGTCACCCCAGTGCCACCCCAGTGTCACCCCCCGTACCTGCGGGGTGCCCCATCCTCGTGGGGGGCACGATGACCACCCTGACGGTGACGGAGGTGCGCAGCAGGTCGATCATCTGCTCGTGGCTCAGCGCCACGGTCACCAGCCCCCATCACACCCCTGTCACCCCAGTGTCACCCCAGTGTCACCCCAGTGTCACCCCCGTACCTGCGGGGCGCCCCATCCTCGTGGGGGCACGATGACCACCCTGACGGTGACGGAGGTGCGCAGCAGGTCGATCATCTGCTCGTGGCTCAGCGCCACAGCCACCAGCCCCCATCACACCCCTGTCACCCCAGTGTCACCCCAGTGTCACCCCAGTGTCACCCCCATATACCTGCGGGGTGCCCCGTCCTCGTGGGGGGGCACGATGACCACCCTGACGGTGACGGAGGTGCGCAGCAGGTCGATCATCTGCTCGTGGCTCAGCGCCACGGCCGCCACCTTGCACACCTCGACCAGGCGGCTGCCGCGGCGCAGCCCGGCCTGCCAGGCGAAGCCGTAGTCCTCCACCTCGGCCACGGTGCCGTCGGGCTGCACGTGGAAGCCCAGCTGGCCCAGCCCGTTGCGCCGCAGCGTCATGTCCACCGTGTCGCAGCCCGACGTCGTGGCCTGGGGACACCGCGGGGGGGACACGGGGGGGAGTCAGGGGGGATGTGGGGGGACATGGTGGGGACACCGTTTTTCCACCCTCTCCCACACCTGCCCCGTTCCAGACCCTCCCCCTCTCCCACCCCCGCCCCATTTCTGACCCCTCTCTCCCACCTGCCCCATTTCTGACCCTCTCTCCCCTGCCCCATTTCTGACCCTCTCCTCTCCCAACACCCTGTCCCATTTCTGACCCTCTCTCCCTGCCCCATTTCTGACCCTCTCCCTCTCCCACCCACCTGTCCCATTTCTGACCCTTCCCCATCTCCCAACCCCTGCCCCATTTCTGACCCTCCCCATTTCTGAGCCCCTCTCCCCCATTTCAGTCCCTCCCCATTTTTGGACCCCTCCCCATTCCAGTCCCTCCCCTGTTTTGGACCCTCCCATTCCAGTCCTTTCCCCATTTTTGACCCCTCCCCATTCCAGACCCTCCTTCTCCTACCCCTCCCATTTTGCACACCTCCCCCATTTTCCCACCCTCTCCCCCTGCCCATTTCTGACCCTCACCCTCTCCTCTCCCATCTCATTTCAGTCCTCCCCATTTTGCCTCTCCTCATTTTTGACCCTCCCTCTCCCCACCCCTCCCCATTCCAGTCCTTCCCCATTTTTGACCCCTCCCATTTTTTTTCACCCTCCCCCTCTCCCCCCTCTCCCTCCTATTCTTCCAGCTCCCTCCCTCCCCTCCCCCTTTCCTCCCACCCCCAGACCCATTCCCCTCTCCCTCACCCCCTGAGCCCATCTGCCACCGACCTCTCCTTGACCTCCTCCTCCCCCATACCAGTCCCTCCCTCTCCCCCTCTTTCCCCACCCCAGCCCCATCCCCTGCCCTCACCCTGAGCCTCTGCACGATCTCCTTGACCTCCTCCTCGCCTCCATCTCCCGCCCTGACGCTGACGTGGTCTCCGCGGCCGTGGTAGATGCGCAGCAGGGCCCCGTCGGCGCTCCAGCCGATGACGTCCCCGGTGAAGCAGTTGAACACCACCTCCCTGGCGCCCAGGTCCAGCAGCACCACGAACTCGTTGGACACGCCCAGGGCGCAGGGCACGTCGGCGCCGCGGGCGAAGTCGCGGGCGGCCACGCGCCAGGCCACGGCCCCGGCGCTCTCCCGCTCGGCGCCGGCGCGCGCCTTGGCCTTCTCCTTCCTCTTGGAGGCCAGCGAGATGAGGTTGAACTTGCCGGCCGAGTCCACGGGCGTGTTGGTGACGTAGTTCTCGGCCAGGTCCTTCAGGTACTCCTGGCGCGTGCGGGTGGCCATGGTGCGGAACTTGTCCGGACTTGTGGGCGGCGTTCTCGGCGTTGATGGCCTTGGCCAGCAGGAAGTCGCGGAACTGCTCGGACTTGCGGAAGGTGACGCCGGGCGGGATGGGGGGCCCGAAGGGGGGCACGTCCTTGGAGCGGGTGACGGCCACGCTGCGGGGCAGGGGGATGAGGGAGGGGGTGGGAGGAGTGTTGGGTTCGTCCAACTGGTGGGAGCCTTCAGGCCCTGGGGGTAGAAGAGCTCGGGGGGCATCCCACCACCTTTGGGGTCATCCAGCCTCTGGGGTCATCTGACCACCTTTAGGGTCATCTGACCACCTTTGGGATCACCCAACCTCTGGGGTCATCTAACCACCTTTAGGGTCATCTGACCACCTTTGGGATCACCCAAGCACCTTTAGGGTCATCTGACCACCTTTGGGGTCATCCAACCACCTCTGGGGTCACCCAGCCTCTGGGGTCATCTGACCACCTTTGGGATCACCCAAGCACCTTTGGGCTCACCCAGCCTCTGGGGTCATCTGACCACCTTTAGGGTCATCTGACCACCTTTGGGATCACCCAAGCACCTTTAGGGTCATCTGACCACCTTTGGGATCACCCAAGCGTTGGGTTCATCCAATAACCTTTGGGGTCACCCAGCTCTTGGGATCAGCCAACCTCAGGGATCCTCCAACCACCTTTGGGATCACCCGGCTGTCGGGATCCCCCAACTCTTGGGATCCTTCAATCCTTAGGACCACCCAATCTCTGGGATCACCCAGGACCACCTCTGGGATCCCCCAACCCTTGGGATCACCCAACCACTGACTCAACGCTTCCCAACACAAGGAACAATCCCAAAATCCCACCTCAAACCCCCCCAGAGCTGCAGGACTCGTTCTCCCGACCCTTCTCCGGCTCCTCCAGCCGCATCCCATTTTTTTGGCCGGGGCTGATCCTTTCCCGGGATTCCGGAGCCCCTCACCTGTAGGAGACGTTCTCGGTGCAGGGGTGGTGGGCCCTGACGATGATGAAGACGTGCTGGAAGTGGGAGCGGATGTTCTGGGGGGTGAAGGGCAGCGCCCCGGGCTCCTGGAAGATGATGGTGACGATGTCGTTGCCGATGTGCCTCTTCCGGAGCAGCTGGGAAGGGAAGGGAAAACCACCCGGAATGGAGGGGATGGAGCATCCAGGCCTCGGGATCACCCGGTCTATGGGATCCTCCAGCCACCTTTGGGAGCTCCCAACCCTTGGGATCAACCAACTTGGGGATCACCAACCACCTTTGGGATCACCCAGCCACCTCTGGGAGCACCCAACCACCTCTGGGAGCACCCAACCACCTCTGGGAGCACCCAGCCACCTCTGGGAGCACCCAGCCACCTTTGGGATCACCCAAAAACCTTTGGGATCACCCAACGCTTGGGAACACCCAACCCCCTCTTTGGGATCATCCATCTTCTGGGATCACCCGACCACCTCTTTGGGCTCACCCAACCCTTGGGATCACCCAACCCTTGGACTCACCCAACCCATGGGATCACCCAACCCATGGGATCACCCGACCCATGGGCTCACCCAACCCATGGGATCACCCGACCCATGGGATCACCCAGCCCTGGGCTCACCCAACCCATGGGATCACCCAACCCATGGGATCACTCAACCCATAGGATCACTCGACCTCTGGCCCCACCCAGCCCTGGGCTCACCCGACCTCAGGGGGAATGGGCTGGGACCCCCATGCTGGGGGCGGTGGTACCTGCTGGCGGTTGTTGGGGGTGTAGGGCAGCATGGTGGACACGTGGAACATGATCTCGTAGTCCTGGTACGTGGTGTACAGCGAGTGGGTGCCCGTGGAATCGGCTGTGGGGGGCGGGAACGGTGGCTCAGGGGGATCTCAGGGGGATCCAGAGGGATCTCAGGGGGATCCAGGGACACTCCCAGCCCCCCCAAGCCCCGGCAGACCCCCCGGGGGTCCCGTCACCCACTCTTGGTGTCCAACTGCGCCGCGTATTTGCTGAAGGACTTGAGGGACACCTTCTCCCCCAGCAGCGCCAGGAACTCCTCCAGGGCCGGCCCGGCCTCCTCGTTGTTGTACATCTCCTCCTCCGAGCTCTGCCCGGCCTTGCAGTACAGGATCCCCACCTTGTGCCGCCGGCACAGCTGCGGGAAGAGCGGGAGTCAATCCCACCCCAGCCCTGTGTCCCCCCCCCAAACCCCCCAAAAACAACCCCCTCACCCACCCCCTGCTCGTCCAGCTTGAGCAGCTGCTCGGTGACTTTGGGGGTGCTGAGGGCCAGGCGCAGGCAGTGGATGTTGAGCTCGGGGATGACGTATTCCAGCGTGTCCCGCAGAGGGAGGCCCCGCACCGTGCCCGGCTTGCTGGTGGTGGGAGTGGCGTCCTCCAGGATGGATCCGCGGAGCGTCACCAGCTGGGAAGGGAATGGGAGAGTGGGAATGTCGACTACGGACACCACAGCGGAGAGGGGACAGAACCACGGACACCACACCCAGAGAGGGGATGGAACCACCGGAGAGGGGACAGAACCACGGACACCGCAGTGGAGAGGGGATGGAACCACGGACACCACACCAGAGCAGGGATAGAACCACGGACACCACACCCAGAGAGGGGATGGAACCACCAGAGAGGGGACAGAACCACGGACACCACACCCAGAGAGGGGATGGAACCACGGACACCACACCAGAGCAGGGATAGAACCACGGACACCACACCCAGAGAGGGGATGGAACCACGGACACCACACCAGAGCAGGGATAGAACCACGGACACCACACCCAGAGAGGGGATGGAACCACGGACACCACACCAGAGCAGGGATAGAACCACGGACACCACACCCAGAGAGGGGATGGAACCACCAGAGAGGGGACAGAACCACGGACACCACACCCAGAGAGGGGATGGAACCACGGACACCACACCAGAGCAGGGATAGAACCACGGACACCGCACCCAGAGAGGAGATGGAACCATCAGAGAGGGGACAGAACCATGGACACCGCACCCAGAGAGGGGACAGAACCACAGACACCACACCCAGAGAGGGGATGGAACCACCGGAGAGGGGACAGAACCACAGACACCACAAGGTGACGGAACCATGGACACCGCACCCAGAGAGGGGACAGAACCACAGACACCACACCCAGAGGGGATAGAACCACGGACACCACACCCAGAGAGGGGATGGAACCACCGGAGAGGGGACAGAACCACGGACACCACACCCAGAGAGGGGATGGAACCACCAGAGAGGGGACAGAACCATGGACACCACACCCAGAGAGGGGATGGAACCACCAGAGAGGGGACAGAACCACGGACACCACACACAGAGAGGGGATGGAACCACCGGAGAGGGGACAGAACCATGGACACCACAGCGGAGAGGGGACGGAACCATGAACACCACAAAGGGACAGAACCACGGACACCACATACGGAGCAGGGACAGAACCACGGACACCACACACAGAGAGGGGACGGAACCACGGACACCACACCCTGAGCAAGGACAGAACCACGGACAACCACAAGGGGATGGAACCACGGACACCACACCCGGAGAGGGGACGGAACCACGGACACCACACCTGGAGCAGGGTCAGACCCACGGACACCACACCCGGAGAGGGGACGGAACCACGGACACCACACACGGACAGGGGACAGAACCACGGACACCACACCCGGAGCAGGGACAGACCCCCGGACACCACACCCGGAGCAGGGACAGAACCACAGACACCACACCCGGAGAGGGGACAGACCCACGGACACCACACCCGGAGAGGGGACAGACCCACGGACACCACACCCGGAGCAGGGACAGACCCACGGACACCACACCCGGAGGGGACAGACCCACGGACACCACACCCGGAGCAGGGACAGATCCCCCGCCGCCCCTCCCGGAGCAGGGTCAGACCCACGGACACCACAAGGGGACAGACCCACGGACACCACACCCGGAGCAGGGACAGACCCACGGACACCACAAGGGGACAGACCCACGGACACCACACCCGGAGAGGGGACAGACCCACGGACACCACAAGGCGATGGAACCACGGACACCACAAGGGGACAGACCACACCCGGAGAGGGGACAGACCCACGGACACCACAACCAGAGCAGGGACAGACCCACGGACACCCATCCCGGAGCAGGGACAGACCCATGGACACCACAAGGGGACAGACCCACAGACACCACACCCGGAGCAGGGACAGACCCACGGACGCCCATCCCAGAGCAGGGACAGACCCACGGACACCCATCCTGGAGCAGGGTCAGACCCACGGACACCACACCCGGAGCAGGGACAGACCCACAGACACCACAAGGGGACAGACCCCCGGCCGCCCATCCCGGAGCAGGGACAGACCCACGGACACCACAGCCGGAGAGGGGACAGACCCACGGACACCACACCCAGAGCAGGGACAGACCCCCGGCCGCCCATCCTGGAGCAGGGTCAGACCCACGGACACCACAAGGGGACAGACCCACGGACACCACAAGGGGACAGACCCCCGGCCGCCCATCCCGGCCGCGGTTCCCAGGGGCGCTCCCAGACCTGGCTGGTGCGGAAGATGAGGCGGTGCTGGTACTGCGGGCCGTGCTCCTTGTGCTCCTCCAGCTTCTCCCGCCGGATGCTCACGGCCACCGGGCCCAGCTTGTCATCCACGCCAAAGTAGTTGGAATGTTCTGGGGAGGAGCAGCGGGATCAGGACGGGGGATATGGGGGTGGGGGGTGTTGGGAGGGGGACACAGAGGGGAGGGGGACACGGGGGGGACAGAGGAGGGAGGTGGGGGATGCATGTGGAGGAGACGAGGCGTGGAAGGACAAGGAAGGACAGGGAAGGGATGGAGAAGGGACACGGAAGGGATGGAGAAGGAACACGAAAAGGATGGAGAACAGACATGGAAGGGATGGAAAAGGGACATGGAAAGGAAACGGAAGGGATGGAAAAGGGACAGGGAAGGGATGGAGAAGGGACAGGGAAGGGATGGAGAAGGGACAGGGAAGGGATGGAAAAGGGACAGGGAAGGGATGGAAAAGGGACAAGGAAGGGATGGAAAAGGGACAAGGAAGGGATGGAGAACGGACATGGAAGGGATGGAGAACAGACATGGAAGGGATGGAGAACAGACATGGACATGGAAAGGGACATGGAAAGGAAACGGAAGGGATGGAAAAGGGACATTGGAAGAGATGGAGAAGGGACATGAAAAGGATGGAGAAGGGACATGAAAGGATGGAGAAGGAACATGGAAGAGATGGAGAAAGGAAATGGAAGGAACAGAGAAGGACACGGAAGGGATGGAGAAGGGACATGGAAGGGATGGAGAAGGGAAATAGAAGGGAAATGGAAAGGATGGAAAAGGGACATTTGAAGAGATGGAGAAGGGACATGGAAGGAACAGAGAAGTGACATAGAAGGGATGGAGAGCAGACACGGAAGGGACATGAAAGGGACGGAGAAGGGACACGAAAAGGATGGAGAAGAGACATGTAAGGGACATGTAAGGGACATGGAGGGACATGGAAAAGGCCCCCACCCCAGCCCCCCCCGATCCCGCGCGTCCCGCACCTTTCCCGTGGAAGTGGTCCCGGTAGTAGCGCGCGCCCAGGTCCACGTGCTCCACGCTGTAGTGCCTGAGGCGCTCGGGGTTGCGCTGCAGCTCCTTGGGCACCTCCAGCACCGAGATGCCAGCGTTGGTGGGTCTGCCGGCGTGGAAAGGCTCCGGGAAGGCCCCCTCGGCCCCCGGCACGGCCGGAGCGCCGGCAGCCCTGGAGAAGCTGAGGTCGCGCTCGCCGGCGCCGCCGATCTCGTTGCGGAAGTGGGGGCAGCTGAGGAGCAGCTCGTTGCTGGTGTTGTCGCCCACGTCGTGCTCCAGGTTCTCCTTGGAGTTGAGGTCCTCGGTGCTGGAGAAGGCGGGGTCGGAGCCGGCGGAGGCGGCGGAGGCGCCGGTGGTGGTGTTGCGGCGCTGGGTGCCGGCGGCGCGCTGCAGGGCGGCGGCGTTGAGGTCGAACAGGATGCTCTGGGCGTCGTAGTGGGCGAAGCCCTTGCGGCACACCCAGCCCTTCCCCGGCGGCTCCGCCGGCGCCCGCGGCTCCTCCGGCTCCTTGCCGTCGCCGTCGTTGCGGGCGCTGCGCAGCTTCCTGAAGATGGACTCGTCGCCCTTGGGGCAGCGGCGCCGCGCCTTGCCGTCCTTGGGCTGCGCCGGCGGCTCCTCGCGCGGCCCGTTCCGACCCTCCGCCTTCGCTGGCGGTGCCGAGGCGGCGTCGCCGAGGCGCTCGGGCGTGCCGGCGCGCCGCTCCGGCCTGCCGGTGCGGAACTCGTTGAGCATGTCGAAGAAGCTCTGCTCCGAGAGGCCCTGCGCGTCGATGGACGAGGTGCTGCCGTACTCGCGGAACAGCCCGCAGGCGCCCCCCGGCTTGGCGCCGCGCGGCTCCGCCGGCTCCTCGGGGTCGCACTCGCTCAGGGTCACCTCGCTGCTGCTGCGGTGCCGCAGCGGCGCCAGGCCCCGCGCCGGCGAGCGCGGCCACCCCTCCTGGAACTCCACGTCCTTGGAGCGCCGGCGCGCCAGGCGGTGCAGGGCTTTGAGGCCGGGCACTCCGGCCGAGGGCTGCTGCCCGCCGGGAAAGCCCGGCCGTCCCGGTTGGCCGGCGCGTCCCGGCCGGCACCGGCGCCGGAATCCTTGGCGGTGCTGGTGGTGTCTCCTCTCCGGGGGGGCCACTCGGCGACGCGGGCGCGCACCCCCATTTTGGGCACGGCCCCGCGCGGGGCGTCGCCCCCCGGCCCCGCCGCCACGGCCCCATTGGGCGCCCAAAAGGCCGCCGGGGACCCCTCGGCATCGGCGCCGTCGTGCCGGGCGGGGCGGTGGGAGCTCATGGTCCGGCGGCGGCGGAGCTGAGCGGGGCCAGGGGGACGGGGCCGCTCATGGCCAGGATGGGGTGGGCACGGAGGCCGGGATGGGTGCCGGGATGGGCACCGGGACGGGCGCGGGCGTCGAGCGGGAGCCGCGGAGCCGAATCCCGCGCCGCCGGCGCATGGCGGGCGGCAGCGCCGGAGCTCACGCCGGGCCGGGCCGGGCGGGCCGGGCCATCCTGTGGGGGTGGGAGAGAAGAGGGTTAGTAGGACACTCCTCCCCTGCTTCCCCAAAATCCCAAATCCACCCTTTTTTTAGCCAAAAACAATGACAGGGCCGCCAGGGTCGCCACTGGGGGGGTGGTGGTGGCCGCTCCGGGTCTCGATCCGTGAGGGATGTTGGGAAGTGAAAAGGTTGAGGGGCACCAGTGGTGGCCCTTCAGACACCCTGCATTATGTGGGTTTGTATCCCTGGGTGTTCCTTGGGTGAGCCTGGAATACGCAGAACTTCCATGGAGGTTCCCAAAGGAATCTTGGAATGTGTTCGTTTCTCTCCCTGGGGGTTCCTCCAGTGGTCTTGGGACAGGTCAGTGAGGGTCTCCAGGTGGTCTTGGAATATGTGGATCTCTCTGCTGGGGATCGTCAAGGATTCTTGGAATATGAAGAGTTATCTCCATGGAGGTTCTTCCAGTGGTCTTGGAATTTCCAGATTTATCCCTGTTGAGGCTCCTCAGGTGGTCTTGGAATTCATGGAATTATCCCTGTTGAGGTTCCTCGAGTGATCCTGGAAATTCCTCAGGTGAGCCTGGAGATTCCTCAGGTGATGCCAGATGTTCCTCAGGTGATCCTGGAGGTTCCCCATGTGGTCTTGGAAAAGGTGGAATTATCCTGTTGAGGTTCCTCAGATGATCCTGGATGTTCCTGGGGTGATCCCGGATGCTCCTCCGGTGCTCCTGGATGTTCCTCAGGCAATCCTGGATGCTCCTCAGGCGATCCTGGATGCTCCTCAGGTGATCCTGGATGTTCCTCAGGCGATCCTGGATGCTCCTCAGGTGATCCTGGATGCTCCTCAGGCGATCCTGGATGTTCCTCAGGTGATCGTGGATGCTCCTCAGGCGATCCTGGATGCTCCTGGGGTGCTCCTGGAACACGTCCCCCTTTCCCCACGGAGCTTGCCCAGGTGGTCTCCACCCTGGAGCCCCTCCCGGAGCCGGACAGACGGACGGACGGGCATTGATCCGTCTGGGATCGGCATTAAACGATCCTGGTTAATCCCGGCGGGAGCCGCCGGCTGGGCGGGGTCGTTAAATCAATACCTGAGCCCTTAATTAAGCGCAGCCCTAACGAGGGGGCTCCAGGGGGGGAGCATCTTCCCAGCGCTAATTCCCTGCATCCCTCGGGAAGGAGCTCCGGGCACTGCATCTTCCACTCGCAGTTTTTGGGGTCAAACCGCCCCGTTTTGGGGTCTCAGCGTCGACTTGCCCTTCTCCGGCTCTTCCCGAGGGAAAGGCAACGCTCATGTTGGATTCTTTTCCCAAAAAACCCGGTTTTCCAATGAAATCTCCTCTTCCCGTGGCCACTTTGGTTATTGGGGAGGCCCCAAATCCCAGCAGGGGTTGATGAATCCTGGGGGGTTTTTTTGCCCCTCCAAAATTGGCACTTGATGCTCCTCCAGGCCAGGAATTCCCAGATTCCTTTGGGAATCTCTGGGTGATCAACAAAATCCAGCGGGAGTATCCACCAGGCACCTCCAGATTATCCAGAACTGGGCTTCGAATCCAGAATTCACCAAATTTTAGGGATTTTACACCAAAACAGAGCCTGATCCCTGGGATTTTGGGAGCATCCACGGCTCAAGCCTCATCCCTTTGGGATACCTGGAATCCTTCCAGGGGGATTCTCCTTCTGGGAGCTCCCCAGACACGATTTGGGGTGAAAAACGAGGGAAAAGGTTTACACACCCCCTGGGAAGGTCGATTCCGCTCCTTAAAAGACCCCAAAATTGGGGTTTTTAAGCCCAAATCCTTCGCTCCAGAGGCGGAAATTCACGGAAGCGCCATCGGGCCCTTCCCACTGACGAGGAGGAGGGAGGGGAGGGAAGGAGATTTTTAATTATTAACCACAAGTTTTTGATAAATTCAGGGAGTTTTTAACTCTTTCCACGCCCCTGGGGAGAGGCGCAGGAGAAAGTCCGGCCACGCCTGTCTTGTAATTAAAAAAATCACGACTTAACGACCCCAAACGAGACGAAATCGCCCCAAAAATCCCCGCTGGGGCTTTTTCCCTCCTCCAGGAGCTGGGAAAAAAACCCCTCATCCCAGGAGTTTGTTTTTTGGGAGGTGGAACCCCCCAAAAAATGATCATTTTGCTGCAGGAAAGAGTGAAAAACGAACCCGAGCGAGGAAGGGATTAGCGAGTTAATTAATTAATTAATTAAGCAGTCGGTAACTTTGTGATTAATTAGGGGGGCGCTTAAAGAGCAACCAATCCCCCATTCCTGGGCGATGGGAACGGCGTGAAAAGTGGGGAAAAAAGCAGGGGAAAAGTGGGATGAAGCCGAGGCCGGGCCCGGCTCGGCGGCCCCGGCGCTTTTTATCTGATGGCGACGGCTTAATTAGCGCTAATTAAACAAAGGGGTTTGTCCGCACGGCCCCAAATCCACCCCGATTCCCGCTTGCCTGAGCTCCGGCGCCGCCGACACCGCTGGGGGGGCCCCGGCTCCGGGATGGAAAAGTGCCCCGAAATCCCGGGATAATTCCCGAGGGCGGAAGGAGGGAGCTCGTTAAGGAGGGAGCTCGTTAAGGAGGCTCCGCCCCCCCTTAATTTGGCCCCTCCGATCGTCAGGTTCAATGTGGGGTTTTTGGGGGGCTGTGGGAACGCGTCGGGTCCTGAGCCGGATTCCCAAGGAATTCCCAAGGTGGGAAGAGGGGGAAGAAGCAGCTCCTTACCGGGAAGACGAGGATCCCACGGAATTCCTGGTGGAGAATTTGAGGGAAAACCCCTGGAATTTAAAGAAAAAAAAAGAAGAAATAAGTGGTTTAATTCCAAAGGAATTAAAGGATAATTGTCTGTTTTGGTGGGAATTCCCAAAGGTTGGAAAATGGGGGGGTTGGATGAGCGAATTATTGGGATTTTTGGAGGGATTGGGGGGAAAAAAAAGGGGAAGGAAAAAGGGGTTGAGGGGCTTAAAAACAGGGAGAGGAGGGTTGGGAATGGGAATGGGGCTGCTGGGGAAGAGGTGGAGGGAGGAAAGGGCGGAAAAGAAGGAATAAGGATGGAAAAAATGGGAAATAAGGTGCACAAAAATAAGGAGCGGTTAGGAAAAAAAGCCCCCCAAAAATTAGGAGTGAAGCCAAAAGTAAGGAATAACCCCCCAGAAATTAGGAATGAACCCCCAAAAATAAGAAATAAACCCCATAAAAATAAGAAATAACTCCCCCAAAGTAAGAAATAAAGCCCTCAAAATAAGAAAAAAAAATCCTAAAATAGGAAGTAAGTCTCATAAAAATAAAAAATAGCCCCCCAAAATAAAAAATAAACACCGTAAAAATTAGAAATAACTCCAGAAAATAAGAAATAAGTCCCATAAAAATAAGAAACAACCCCCCAAAACTAAGAAATAACCCCCCAAAAATGAGGAATCACAACTCAACCCCCCCCAAAAAAATAAACCTTCTAAAATAAGAAATAAGCCCCCATAAAATAAGCCAGAAAACTAAAGAAACAGCCACCCCAAAATAAGAAATAATCCCCCAGAAATAAGAAGGAATTACAAATAAAACCCTAAAATGAAATAAATCCCCCAAAATAAGAAATTACGCCCTCCAAAAAATAACAAATAAGACACCCAAACCCAACAAATACTCTTAAAGATAAGAAATAACTTCCCAAAATAAAAAATAAAACCTAAAAAAAATAAGAAACAACCCCAAAAACAAGAAATAACCCCCCAAATTAAGAAATAATTCCCCCTCCAAAAAAAAACCCCTCAAATCTCCCCTTTTTCCCCCCCAAACCCCTCTGGCCACACCCCAAAATTGGGGGGTTTTGGGGCCCCTGGGAACCTTCGCCCCGTAATTAGGTCAGGCCGGGAGTTCGTTAACGAGGGACTAATTGAGTTATTTAAATAATTCATTCCAAGGGGAGGTTTTAGTCCCACCAGCTGCGGATTTTGGGGAGAGAAAGGGGAAAATGGGGGTGGAAAACAACCCAAATACCCCCCCCCAAAAAATCAGATCCCCCCAAACGCTCCAGAATCGCCTAAATATCCCCAAAACACCCCAAAATAACCTTCCCCCCCAAAAAAACAGACCCACCCTGAGAAAAACCCCCAAAATCGCCCCCAGAAAATGCCAAACACCCCCAAAAACACCCCAAAAGAACCAGCCCCCCCAAAATACCCAGGAACCCCCAAAACAGCACCCTAAAAACAAACCAGAGCCCCTCCAGAAAACCCCAAAACCATCCCCTCTCCCCCCAGAAAAATCCCCCAACCCCAAAAAGGGGTGACAGGTTTGGAGAAGGATCCCAGAGAGCTCAAGTGACCCCCCTTTACCCACCCCAAATACAACCCAAACCCCCCAAAATACAACCCACCCAACCTCCCCCTTCCCCCCAAGTCACTCACAGGGACCCCAAAGTCCCCAAGGGAGTCACCCCAAAAAACACAAACACCCCCTATAACAACCCCCAAATCCCTCAGAGACCCCCTAAAACAACCCCCAAATCCCCTCAGAGACTCCCCTAAAACAATTCCCAATTTCCTCAGGGACCCCCTAAAGCACCCCCTCCCTCAAGGGCCTCAGAGACCCCTAAAATAGAACCCCCAATCTCCTCAGGGATCCCTGAGCCCCCTAAAACAGAACCCCCAATCCCCTCAGGGACCCCAGAGAACCCCTAAAACACCCCCTCCAAGCCCCTCAGGAACCCCAGAGAACCCCTAAAACAGAACCTCCCAAATCCGATCAGAGAGCTCCTAAAACAGCCCCCCCTCCATCCCCTCAGGGGCCCCTGAGACCCCCTAAAACAGAACCCCCCCAATCTCCTCAGGGGCCCCTGAGCCCCCCCAAAAACAGAACCCCCAATCCGCTCAGAGAGCTCCAAAACACTCCATCCCTCAGGGCTCCTAAGACCCTAAAACACCCCCAATCTCCTCAGGGACCCCAGAGACCCCCTAAAACACCCCCAATCCCTCAGGGATCCCTAAGAACCCCTTAAAACAGAACACCCTCCAAGCCCCTTAGGAACCCCTGAACCCCCAAAAACAGAACACCCCAGTCCCCTCAGGGACCCCAGAGAACCCCCTAAAACAGAACCCCCAAATCCAATCAGAGAGCTCCTAAACCCCCTCCATCCTCAGGGCCCCTGAGACCCCCTAAAACAGAACCTCCAACCCCTCAGGGACCCTGAGCCCCCCAAAAACAGAACCCCCCAGTCCCTCAGGGACCCCTGAGACCCCAAAACAGAACCCCCAATCCCCTCAGGGACCCCAGAGACCCCCTAAAACACAACCCACTGAGAGCCCCAGAAACCCCCAAAACACCCCCCAAATCCCCTCAGGGACACCAGAGATCCCCAAGCCCCTCAGGGACCCCAGATCCCCAAGTGAACCCCCTGGACAAAAACACGATCCCCCCAAAAGCACAACCCCTTGAGCCTCAAAGGGACATCAGAGCCCCCAGTCCCCTCAGGGACCCCAGAACCCCCAAAACACAATCCTCCCCAGGCCCCTCAGGGACCCCAGAGCCCCCAAACACAACAATCCCCCCAAACACGAACAGCCCCCAAAACCTGAACCCCTGAGCTCCCTCAGGGACCCCAGAACCCCCAAACACAACAACCTCCCTCCCCAAACACAGAACAGCCCCCTAAAACCGAACCCCTTGAGCTCCCTCAGGGACCCCAGAACCCCCAAACACAGCACCCCCCCTCTCCCAAACACGAACAGCCCCCCCAAAACCGAACCCCTGAGCTCCCTCAGGGACCCCAGAACCCCCAAACACAACAACCTCCCTCCCAAACACAGAACAGCCCCCTAAAACCGAACCCCTGAGCTCCTCAGGGACCCCAGAGCCCCCCGCCCCAACCTCAAATCACAACCCCTGAGCCCCTCGGCGACCCCTCGAGACCCCCTCACATCCACCCCTCACCCCTCAGGTCCCCTTGCACCTGCGGGCGGGGCCCTTTGGGACCCTCCTCCCCTCCCTTCTCCCTCCGCGCTCCTGCCACCCCTCCAATCCCCTCAGGCGGCGGCTCCCAGGAACTACAACTCCCGGCAGCGCCCTGCGGATCCCCGGAGGGGTTATTGGGCGGGGGTCCTGGGGGTGGGGTGGGGTTCCGGAGGGCTCAGGGCGGTTCCGGGCCTCAGCAGAGGCCCTCACCCGGCAGGGAGAAGCGGCGGCAGCAGCGGCGGGTCCTTCCAACCGCCTCCTGCCTGCGGCCGGCGGGTCTGAGGGGGCCGTGAGGGGAGTGGGGGGTGGGGGCCACCACCGGCGGCCAATGAGGGGGGACGGCGGCGGTGGCGGGAGCGGCGCAGCGCCGCGGCCAATGAGGGGGCGGCGGGAGCGGCGCGAGCACGACGGTGCGCGGCGGCGGCAGCGGGGGCGGGGCCTCGGCGGAGGGGCGGGGGCTCGGGGAGGGTGGGAGGGGCGAGGAGGTGGAGCCGGGTCCCGCCAGGGGGCGCTGCGGAGTCTTAAAGGGGCAGGAGCCGATTTGGGGGTTGGGGGGTGGGGGATAAAGGGAGGAAAATGGGGGACCCTCCCGTCACCCAGAAATTGGGGGTCGCTGGAGAAAGGGGGTTAAGGGCCTGGGGAAACCCCCTCTATAAAGTGAGGCACCTCCCACGAGGAACTGGGGACCCCCTGGGAACTGGGGATCCCCACCCCAAACTGGGGACCCCCTGGAAATTGGGGATCCCCTGGGAACTGGGGATCTTCCCCCCAAACTGGGGACTCCCCTGGGAACTGGGGACCCCCTGGGAACTGGGGATCCCCACCCCAAACTGGGGACCTCCTGGAAATTGGGGATCCCCACCCCAAACTGGAGATCCCCTGGGATCTGGGGATCCTCATCCCAAACTGGGGACCCCCTGGAAATTGGGGATCCCCTGGGAACTGGGGACCCCCTGGGAACTGGGGATTTCCACCCCAGACTGGAGACCCTCTGGGAACTGGACACCCCCTCAAACTGGGGATCCCCCACAAACTGGGGGTCTCCACGCCAAACTGGGGACCCCCTCTACAAACTGGACACTCCCCACAAACTGGGGATCCCCCCCAAACTGGGACCTGTCCTACAAACTGGAGACCCCCTCTACAAACCAGGGATCTCCCCCTCGCCAAATTGGGCCCCCCTACCCCAACTGGGGGCCCCCAAACTGGGATCCCCCTCCCCAAACGGGGCCGCCCCGCCCCCTCATGACCCCTCCCCCTCATTTACATGCGGCTACTCCTGGACCAATCAGCGGGAACCGGAACTCTGCTCACAGCCAATCAAAAGCAACTTCCTCGCTAGCTTGGCCACGCCCCGGGCGCGTTGGGGGCGTGGCCTCCACAGAGGCACATCTCATTTTCATATCTAATTTGCATGTCCTATTTGCATATGAATGAACTCCGCCCACACCCGCAAATGAGGGGATCTTGGGCCCACTCCCGTAAGATTTTGGGGGCTCTCCCTGGATTTTGGGCCACCAAATGTCACCCCTCCCCCCCAAAATCTGATCCAGGTGACCCCCCAAATGTCCCCCCACCCAAGTCTGATCCGGGTGACCCCCTAAATGTCACCCTTCCCCCCCAAAATCTGATCCAGGTGACTCCCCCAAATGTCCCCGCACCCAAGTCTGGATCCGGGTGTGTGTCCCCCCAAATGTCACCCCTCCCCCCCAAAATCTGATCCAGGTGACCCCCCAAATGTCCCCCCACCCAAGTCTGATCCAGCGTGACCCCCAAATGTCCCCCAGTCTAATCCAAGTGTGTCCCCCCAGGGTCCCACAGCCCCCTCCTCGTGTCCCCCCGTCCCAAAACCCCCTTTTGAAAAAGACCACGGAGACCCCAAAAGCAGCCGAAGGCTCTTTATTCCCCAGAGAACCCAAAAGCCGGGGGATAAGACCCCCGTGACACCGGGAGGGATGTGAGACCCCCCATCACCTCAGGGGGGGGTGAGAGCCCCCCTCACACCAGGTTGGGGGACAGGACGGGGAGGGGGTGGTTGAGGTGGGGGAGGGACGGATGTGTCCGAGGGGCTGCTGAGAGGGGGGGTCTCAGGACCATCCCCCCCAAAATCCTCAGGGCCCCCCCTCAGACTTTCTTGCGCTGCGGTCGCACCCGAGGGAAGAGCTGGGGAAGGAGATGAGGGGGTCAGTGAGAGTGACCTCCCAAAAAACCCCCGAAGACACCGAGGGGCTGTGGGACCCCCCCCGAGGGTCAGGGATGTTGTGGGACCCTCCCCCCAAGGCGTGGGTGCTGTGGGACCCCCCCCTCAGGACTGTGGGACCCCCCTTTAGGACTGTGGGACCCCCAAGGATGTGGGTGCTGTGGGAACCCCCCCGGGGCTGCAGAGTGGCTGTGGGACCCCCCCCCAAAGGATGTCGGTCCTGTGGGACCCCTCCTCATGCCCTGGGTGCTGTGGGACCCCCCGTGGGGCTGTAGGGTGGCTGTGGGACCCTCCCCTCATGCCCTGGGTGCTGTGGGACCCCCCGTGGGGCTTTAGGGTGGCTGTGGGACCCCCTCTCATGCCCTGGGTGCTCTGGGACCACCGTGGGGCTGTAGGGTGGCTGTGGGACCCCCGTGGGCCTGTAGGGTAGCTGTGGGACCCCCCGTGGGGCTGTAGGGTGGCTGTGGGACCCCCCTCATGCCCTGGGTGCTGTGGGACCCCCGTGGGGCTTTGGGGTGGCTGTGGGACCCCCCGTGGGGCTTTGGGGTGGCTGTGGGACCCCCCTCATGCCCTGGGTGCTGTGGGGGGCTTTAGGGTGGCTGTGGGACGGCCCCCTCATGCCCAGGGTGCTGTGGGACCCCCGTGGGGCTGTAGGGTGGGTGTGGGATCCCCCTCATGCCCAGGGTGCTGTGGGACCCCCCTCATGCCCTGGGTGCTGTGGGACCCCCGTGGGGCTTTGGGGTGGCTGTGGGACCCCCCTCATGCCCTGGGTGCTGTGGGACCCCCGTGGGGCTGTAGGGTGGGTGTGGGATCCCCCTCATGCCCAGGTGCTGTGGGACCCCGTGGGCCTTTGGGGTGGCTGTGGATCCCCCTCATGCCCAGGGTGGCTGTGGGACCCCCGTGGGCCTGTAGGGTAGCTGTGGGACCCCCCTCATGCCCAGGGTGCTGTGGGGGGCTTTAGGGTGGCTGTGGGACCTCCCCTCATGCCCTGGGTGCTGTGGGACCCCCGTGGGGCTTTAGGGTGGCTGTGGGACCCCTGTGGGGCTTTAGGGTGGCTGTGGGACCCCTTCTCATGCCCAGGGTGCTGTGGGACCCCCGTGGGGCTGTAGGGTGGCTGTGGGACCCCCGTGGGGCTTTGGGGTGGCTGTGGGACCCCTCCTCATGCCCTGGGTGCTGTGGGACCCCCGTGGGGCTTTGGGGTGGCTGTGGGATCCCCCCTCATGCCCAGGGTGCTGTGGGACCCCCATGGGCCTGTAGGGTGGCTGTGGGACCTCCCCTCATGCCCTGGTGCTGTGGGACCCCCGTGGGGTTTTGGGGTGGCTGTGGGACCCCCCTCCTGCCCTGGGTGCTGTGGGACCCCCCTCATGCCCGTAGGGTGGCTGTGGGACCCCTCGTGGGGCTTTGGGGTGGCTGTGGGACCCCCCTCCTGCCCTGGGTGCTGTGGGACCCCCCTCATGCCCTGGGTGCTGTGGGACCCCCATGGAGCTTTAGGGTGGCTGTGGGACCCCCCTCATGCCCTGGGTGCTGTGGGACCCCTGTGGGGCTTTAGGGTGGCTGTGGGACCCCCCTCATGCCCAGGGTGCTGTGGGACCCTCCATGGGGCTGTAGGGTGGCTGTGGGACCCCCCTCATGCCCTGGGTGCTGTGGGACCCCCCTCATGCCCAGGGTGCTGTGGGACCCCCCTCATGCCCAGGGTGCTGTGGGACCCCCGTGGGTCTGTAGGGTGGCTGTGGGACCCCCCCTCATGCCCTGGGTGCTGTGGGACCCCCCCTCATGCCCAGGGTGGCTCTGGGACCCCCCGTGGGTCTGTAGGGTGGTTATGAGACCCCTCCACCCACGCCCACCCCCCCAGCACCGGTGTGTGTGTCTGTGTGCGCGTCCCCCCCCTCACCCCGAAGTAGTTTCTGGGCACGTATCCCTCGTGGCCGTAGAGGGACCCCCACCACCAGTCGAGCTCCTCGGGGGGCTGCCGGCGCAGGACGGTGACGGGCTCGCCCTCCCGGAACGACAGCTCGTCCCCGAACTCGGCGCTGTAATCCCACAGCGCGTACACCACGCCGCTGTTCAGCACCCCCATGCCCTGCTCCACCTCTGGGGGGGACAGCGGGGTCAGGGTGGGCACCCCTGAGCACCCACAGAGACCCCCAAACACCCACAGAGACCGCCAGACACCACAGAGACCCCCAGACACCACAGAGACCCCCAGACACCACGCTGCTGTTCAGCACCCCCATGCCCTGCTCCACCTCTGGGGGGGACAGCGGGGTCAGGGTGGGCACCCCAAACACCCACAGAGACCCCCAAACATCCCCAGACACCACAGAGACCCCCAAACACCCCCAGACATCACAGACACCGCAGAGACCCCCAGACACCACCCCGCTGTTCAGCACCCCCATGCCCTGCTCCACCTCTGGGGATAGGGGTCAGGTGGGCACCCCAAACACCCACAGAGACCCCCAAATACCCACTGAGATCCCAAACACCACAGAGACCCCAGACCCAGACCCCTCAGACACCACCAGACACACAGAGCCCCCAGACACCACCCCGCTGTTCAGCACCCCCATGCCCTGCTCAACCTCTGGGGGGGATGGGGGGGTCAGGGTGGGCACCCCTGAGCACCCACAGAGACCCCCAAATACCCACTGAGATCCCCAAACACCCACAGAGACCCCCAGACACCACAGAGCCCCTCAAACACCACCAGACACCACAGAGACCCCCAGACACCACGCCACTGTTCAGCACCCCCATGCCCTGCTCCACCTCTGGGGGACACAGCGGGGTCAGGGTGGGCACCCCAAACACCCACAGAGACCCCCAAATACCCACTGAGATCCCCAAACACCCCCACACATCACAGACACCACAGAGACCCCCAGACACCACGCCACTGTTCAGCACCCCCATGCCCTGCTCCACCTCTGGGGGGCACAGCGGGGTCAGGGTGGGCACCCCAAACACCCACAGAGACCCCCAAACAGCACAGAGACCCCTAAATACCCCCAGACATCACAGACACCACAGAGACCCCCAAACACCCACACAGAACCCCAAACACCATAACCCCCCTCCCAGTGCTCCCAGTGCTCACCAGTGAGGTACGTGGTGCACTCCGATTCCAGTGTAACCCCTCCCAGTGCCCCTCCCAGTGCTCCCAGTGCTCCCAGTGCTCACCAGTGAGGTGCGTGGTGCACTCCCCGTAGCCCTCGCGGTACGGGTCGCCCCATAACCCCCCTCCCAGTGCTCCCAGTGCTCACCAGTGAGGTACGTGGTGCACTCCGGTCACAGTGTAACCCCTCCCAATGCCCCTCCCAGTGCTCCCAGTGCTCACCAGTGAGGTAACTGGTGCACTCCGGTCACAGTGTAACCCCTCCCAGTGCTCCCAGTGCTCACCAGTGAGGTACGTGGTGCACTCCAATCCCAGTGTAACCCCTCCCAGTGCCCCTCCCAGTGCTCCCAGCGCTCACCAGTGAGGTACGTGGTGCACTCCCCGTAGCCCTCGCGGTACGGGTCGCCCCATAACCCCCCTCCCCAGTGCTCCCAGTGCTCACCAGTGAGGTACGTGGTGCACTCCGATTCCAGTGTAACCCCTCCCAGTGCCCCTCCCAGTGCTCCCAGTGCTCCCAGTGCTCACCAGTGAGGTAACTGGTGTACTCCAATCACAGTGTAACCCCTCCCAGTGCTCCCAGTGCTCACCAGTGAGGTAACTGGTGTACTCCAATCCCAGTGTAACCCCTCCCAGTGCTCCCAGCGCTCACCAGTGAGGTACGTGGTGCACTCCCCGTAGCCCTCGCGGTACGGGTCGCCCCATAACCCCCCTCCCAGTGCTCCCAGTGCTCACCAGTGAGGTAGGTGGTGCACTCCCGTAGCCGCTCACGCAGTGGGGGCCCCATAACCCAGGTAGGTGGTGCACTCCCCGTAGCCCTCGCGGTACGGGTCGCCCCATAACCCCCCTCCCAGTGCTCCCAGTGCTCCCAGTGCTCCCAGTGCTCACCAGTGAGGTAACTGGTGCACTCCAATCACAGTGTAACCCCTCCCAGTGCCCCTCCCAGTGCTCCCAGTGCTCCCAGCGCTCACCAGTGAGGTACGTGGTGCACTCCCCGTAGCCCTCGCGGTACGGGTCGCATTTCTCCACGGCCAGGGAGCCGTCGGAGCCGGTGCTGGCGTAGATGGCCGCGCCGTGCCGCACCAGGGCCACGCACACGCCCGTGTCGTTGCACGAGGCCGCGCAGTGCAGGGGGGTCCTGGGGGGGACAAAGGGGGTAAAAAGGGGGCAGGGGGTTGAGGGGAACAGTGGGGGGCCACCCCCACTCGTGGGGGGCACCTCGGGGACACCACGGGGGTGGCAGCGGTGGTGGCTGTTGGGTCCCCTGTCCTCTGACCCCGTGATGTCCCACCACCTGTGATTGTTGTGTCCCCTGTCCCTGTCCCACCACCCATGACTGTCAGGTCCCCTGTCCCCATGATGTCCCACCACCCGTGGCTGTTGTGTCCCCTGTCCCCCTGTCCCTCCCCATGTCCCCGGTGTCCCACCAGCCCTGGCTGTTGTGTCTCCTGTCCCCTGTCCCTCCCCCTGTCTCCATCCCTGTCCCCTGGTGTCCCACCAGCCCTGGTTGTTGTGTCCCCTGTCCCTGTCCCTTGTCCCCATCCCCCGGTGTCCCACCACCCATGGCTGTTGTGTCCCCCGTCCCTCCCCATGTCCCCCTGTCCCTCCCCTGTCCCCGGTGTCCCACCACCCGTGGCTGTTGTGTCCCCCTTGTCCCTCCCCCTGTCCCTCCCCTGTCCCTGTCCCTGGTGTCCCACCAGCTGTGGCTGTTGTGTCCCCTGTCCCCTTGTCCCTCCCCCTGTCCCTCCCCCTGTCCCCTGGTGTCCCACCAGCCCTGGTTGTTGTGTCCCCTGTTCCTGTCCCTTGTCCCCATCCCCCGGTGTCCCACCACCCGTGGCTGTTGTGTCCCCTGTCCCTCCCCATGTCCCCCTGTCCCTCCCCGTCCCTCCCCTGTCCCGGTGTCCCTGCCAGCCGTGGCTGTTGTGTCCCCTGTCCCTCCCCATGTCCCCCTGTCCCTCCCCTGTCCCCCTGTCCCTCCCCCGTCCCTCCCCTGTCCCCGGTGTCCCACCAGCCGTGGCTGTTGTGTCCCCTGTCCCTTCCCCATGTCCCCCTGTCCCTCCCCCCTGTCCCCCTGTCCCTCTCCCCTGTCCCTGTCCCTCGGTGTCCCACCAGCCGTGGCTGCTGTGTCTCCTGTCCCCTGTCCCTCCCCCTGTCCCTGTCCCCGGTGTCCCACCAGCCGTGGCTGTTGTGTCCCCTGTCCCTCCCCCTGTCCCCGGTGTCCCACCAGCCGTGGCTGTCGGGGGAGTTGACGTCGGCGCCGCTGGCGATGAGGAAGTCGACGATGGCGTAGTTGGCACCGCAGATGGCGTTGTGCAGGGCCGTGATCCCCTCGTCGTTGGGCTGGCTGGGGTCGTTCAGCTGGGGACAGGGGACCGTGCCCTCGCTGACACCCTGCTGCCACCCCCTGTCCCCTCAGTGCCACCCTGCTGCCACTCCGTTCCCTCAGTGCCACCCCCGTCCCCTCGCTGCCACCCCTGTCCCTCACTGCCACCCCTGGTCCTGATGCACCACCCCAGTGCCCTCAGTGCCACCCCTGTCCCCTCAGTGCCACCCTGCTGCCACCCCCTGTCCCCTTGCTGCCACCCCCGTGCCCCTCTGCTGTCCCCTCAGTGCCACCCTGCTGCTACCCCCGTCCCTTGCTGCCACCCCGTGCCCTCAGTGCCACCCCTGTCCCTCAGTGCCATCCCTGTCCCCTCAGTGCCACCCTGCTGCCACTCCGTTCCCTCAGTGCCACCCCTGTCCCCTCAGTGCCACCCTGCTGCCATCCCCCGTCCCTCAGTGCCATCCCCATCCCCTCACAGCCACTCCCTGTCCCCTCAGTGCCACCCTGCTCCCACCCCCAATCCCTTGCTGCCACCCTGCTGCCACCCCCGTCCCCTTGCTGCCACCCCCGTGCCCTCAGTGCCACCCTCTGCCCACCCCCTGTCCCCTCAATTGCCACCTGCTGCCACCCCCTGTCCCCTTGCTGCCACCCCGTGCCCTCAGTGCCACCCCTTGTCCCCTCAGTGCCACCTCCATCCCCTCACAGTCACTCCCTGTCCCCTCAGTGCCACCCCCCTGTCCCCTCCACCTTGCCCACCGTGTCTCTCACTGCTAGCCCTTGTCCTCTCAGTGCCACCCTCCGTCCCCTCACTGCCACCCCCATCCCCTCAGTGCCATCCCCCGTCCCCTCACAGCCACCCCTGTCCCCTCACTGCCACCCTTGTCCCCTCTCTGCCACCTGCCCTGTCCCTGTCCTGCTGTCCCCAGCCCTTGTCCTATCCCCACCATCTCCTGTCCCCTCTGTCTCTGGCCCTTGTCTATCCCCATGTTATCTACACTGTCCCCCGTGTCCCACCTCTCGGCCCCATGTACCTCTTTGCTGCAATCAGGCTCCCCGGTGGCGCCATGTCTCTGTCCACACAGCCTTGTCTCTGTCCTGTCCTCTGTCCCCCAGCCCTTGTCCCTGTCCCATCCAGTGTCCCCATTATCCCTCTGCCATGCCTGCAGGTGAGCTCCCAGTGAGATACTGTCCCCAGCCTTGTCCCCTGTCCCCATGGTGTCCCTCTGTCCCAGCCCTTGTCCCTGTCCCCATCGTGTCCCTCTGTCCACGTGTCCCACCTCGAGCCACCGCCTGCTGCACCACGTCAAGCTCCCCAGTCAGAACCACTGTTCCCTCTGTCCCCAGCCCTTGTCCCCTGTCCCTCTGTCCCCCGTTGTCCCAGCCTTGTCCTGTCCTGCTGTCCCCTCTGTCCCCAGCCCTTGTCCCCTGTCCCCATCTGTCCCCTGCTGTCCCCAGCCCTTGTCCCCTGTCCCCACCATGTCCCCATGGTGTCCCCTCTGTCCCCAGCCCTTGTCCCCTGTCCCCCCGTGTCCCACCTCGGCCACCGCCTGCTGCACCACGTCGAGCTCCCCAGTGAGCGCCACTGTCCCCTCTTTCCCCAGCCCTTGTCTCCTGTCCCCACTGTCCCCTCTGTCCCCAGCCCTTGTCCCCTGTCCCCATCGTGTCCCCCGTGTCCCACCTCTGCCACCGCCTGCTGCACCACGTCGAGCTCCCCGGTGAGAGCCACTGTCCCCAGCCCTTGTCCCCTGTCCCTGCTGTCCCCTCTGTCCCCAGCCCTTGTCCCCTGTCCCCCTCGTGTCCCCCCCCGTGTCCCACCTCTGCCACCGCCTGCTGCACCACGTCGAGCTCCCCGGTGAGCGCCGCGTCGAGCAGCAGCACCAGGGGGTTGAGGCGCACCCGGGCCCCGGGGCGGCGGCGCGGGGAGGAGGGGTCTCGCAGGGCCGAGCGGAGCTCCTGGGGCACAGGGGAGGGGTCAGGGGACACCCCTTGGGACATTGGGGACACCCCCGGGGCGAGGAGGGGTCTCGCAGGGCCGAGCGGAGCTCCTGGGGCACAGGGGAGGGGTCAGGGGGCACCCCTTGGGACATTGGGGACACCCCCGGGACATTGGGGACATCCCTGGGACATTGGGGACACCCCCGGGGTGAGGAGGGGTCTCCAAGAGATAAGGACATTGTGGGGGGGGCTCTGAGTGACAAGGACACCCTGGGAGTCTCAGAGTGACCCAGACCCCCCACGTGTCACCCCGGGGGTCTCTGAGCGACCAGAACTCCCTGTGTGACACCCCAGGGGTCTTCGAGGGACAAGGACCCCCCATGTGTCACCCCGGGGGTCTCTGAGGTCCCAGGACCCCCCATGTGTCACCCGGGGGGGATCTCTGAGTGACAAGGACACCCTGGGGGTCTCAAACGGTCAAGGACCCCCCCTTGTGACACCCCGGGGGTCTCTGAGGTCCCAGAACCCCCACGTGTCACCCCGGGGGTCTCTGAGTGACCAGGACCCCCCCATGTGTCACCCCGGGGGTCTCCGAGTGACCAGAACTCCCTGTGTGACACCCCAGGGGTCTCCGAGTGACAAGGACACCCCGGGAGTCTCAGAGTGACCCAGACCCCCCATGTGTCACCCCGGGGGTCTCCGAGTGACCAGAACTCCCTGTGTGACACCCCAGGGGTCTCCGAGGGACAAGGACCCCTCATGTGACACCCCGGGGGTCTCTGAGGTCCCAGGACCCCCCACGCATCACCCCGGGGATCTCTGAGTGACCAGAAGCCCCCACGTGTCACCCCGGGGGTCTCCGAGTGACCAGGACCCCCCCACGTGTCACCCCGGGGGTCTCTGAGTGACCAGGACCCCCACGTGTCACCCTGGGGTCTCCCCCGCCCCCTCCCCCGCCCCCAAACTCACCGCGGCGGGGGCGGCTCCGCCGGGTGACGGCGGCTCGGGGGGGCTCTGCCGGGGCGGCCGCGCCTCGGGGACCACCGGGACAGGGGTCGGCCCCTCCGGCGAGGGCTCCCCGGCGCTCGGGGGGTCTTCCCGGCGGGCGGGGCGGTGCAGGAGCCGCGTGATGAGCTGCTGGTACTGCCGGGTGCGGCTGGGGGGCAGCGCCGGCCCGGGGCTCTGCTCCATCGACCCCCGGCGCTTGAGGGGTCGCGGCATCTCGGCCAGGACCCGGGCGACCTCCTCGAACTCGGGCAGGACCCGCTGGGCCTCGGGGGGCAGCAGGGGCTGCAGCCGCGTGGGGCTCAGGGGTCTCTCGAGCCCCTCGGCCTCGGCGCTCTGCAGGAGCCGCTCCAGCTCCGGCTCGGCCTCGGCGGGCAGGGGTCGGGGGCGCAGGGCGGGGGGGCTGTGGGATAAAAGGGGGAGGGGTCAGGGGTGGGATATCAAACCCCCAAAATGGGGGTCAATATATCAGAGACTCTGCTCCCCAAATAACCCCGTGTGTCCCTCCCTCCAGAGCCTCCCAATAATCCTGTTGTGTCCGGGTCCCCCTGGAGCCCTCCCCGCCCCTCAAATAATCCCGTGTGGCCCCCTGGGAGACCCCAATAATGCCCGTGTGTCCCCCTTCCAGAGCCCCCAAATAACCCCGTGTGTCTCCTCCTGGAGACCCCCAGCCCCCAAATAACCCCGTGTGTCCCCCTAGAAGCCCCCAAATAACCCTGTGTGTCCCCCCTGGAGCCCCCAAATAACTCCCTGTGTCCCCCACCTCCAGAGACCCCCAAATAACCCCCGTCTGTCCCCCACCACCTCCAGAGCCCCCAAATAACCCCGTGTGCCCCCCAGAGCACCCAAAATAACCCTGCGTGTCCCCCTGGAGCCCCCCAAATAACCCCGTGTGTACCCCGGAGCCCCCAAATAACCCCGTGTGTCCCCCCTCCAGAACCCCCAAATAATTCGTGTGTCCCCCCAGGAGCCCCCAAATAATCCTGTGTGTACCCCCTGAAGCCCCCAAATAACCCCGTGTGTCTCCCCCACCTCCAGACCCCCCAATAACCCCGTGTGTCCCCCACCTCAGACCCCCAAACAATCTCTGTCTCCCCCTCTTGGGGATCCCCAATAACCCCCTGTACCCCCTCAGCCCCCAATAACAGCCCCCCAATCTCCCAAATATCCCCTCCTTTATCCCCCAATAAACCCCCTCACCTTCGGGGGCCCGGGGCAACGCCGGGGAGTTTTGGGGTCCGCGGTGTGGGGAGGGGAGCCGAGGAAGGGGAGAGCAGGAGGGGGCGCCCCGCGCCCCTCCCCACCGCCCGCCCCCGCCCCCCTGCTCCCAAAAAGCGTTTTGGAGCTTGAAGATCATGGAGAGGGGAGGGGTCTGTGGCAGGGTCTCCAGCCTGGGGGGCACCGGGATGCGGGACACGGGCTGCTGGGACAGGTGCCACCCCTCGGCAGCGACCCCGGCCTGCCGGGGGGCGGGGGCGTCGGAAAAGCCTCCTGGCGCCCCCGCCGCCCCCTCCCCTCCGGCCAGCGGCGACACTTGTAATTGCGGGGAGGGTCGCTGCTGACCCCGAAAGAGCCGTCCTGGGGGGGGGGGACACACATAAAAATGGGGGGGGGATATGTCAGAGTCTTGTAGATGTGTCCCCCCCCAAGTTTAGGGGGGTTAGCGGAGCAGAGACCCCCAATTTTGGGGGGGTTAATAAAGCAGAGATTCCAAGACCCTCCCCCCTTTCCAATTTGGGGGGGTAACACAGCAGAGACCCCCAATTTTGGAGGGGTTAATAAAGCACAGACCCCCAGTTTGGGGGGGTTAATAAAGCACAGATTTCAAGACCTCCCCCCTCCCCAAAATTTGGGTGTTAATAAAGCAGAGACCCCCCAGATCTTGCCCAATTTGGGGGTGTTAACACAGCAAAGACCCCCAAATTGGGGGGGTTAATAAAGCAGAGCCCCCCAATTTGGGGGAGGTTAACAAAGCAGAGACCCCCAGACCCCCTAACCCAGTTCACTGGACCCCCTCAGACCCCCCCAAATTTAGATGATCAATCCCCTGGACCCCCCCCAGACCTCCCCAATTTGCAGGGTCAGCACAGTAGAGCCCCCCCCAGTCCCCCCTGGCCAGGGTGGGGGTCTCCAGGCCCCACCCCCACTCACCTTGCCCTGCCCGGCCCCGTCCAGGCTCGACTCCCTCCAAGCCCCCAGACCCAGGGGGTCGTGGCCCTCCCTGCCCCTCGCTGGTGCCTGTTTTTGGGGGGACACAAACAGAGCCCTCAGGTGGGCTTGGGAGGTGCAGAAGAGACCTTGGACCCCCAAGTAGCCCTAAGACCCCCCCCAAAAAGTCACAAACACACCCAAAAAGCCCCAGACCCCCAAAATCCCTAAACCCACCCCAAAACCCTAACCCCTCCAAAACCCACAGACCCCACTCCTACAGCACCCTCAGGTCCCCAAAATCCCTAAACCCACCCTAAACCCCCAAAACCCCCAAACCCACCCCAAAACCCCAAACCCACCCCAAAACCCACAGACCCCCTCCCCAGCACCCCTAACCCCCAAATCCCCCAACCCCACCCCCTCCCCAAAATCCGCAGCCCCTTCCCAAGCAGCCCCAAGCGCCCCCCAAAATCCTAAACCCACACCCCAAAAATCCCCTAAACCCCCTTCCAAACCTTTCCAAAAGCCACAAACTACATCAGGTGCCCCCACCTCCCAAAAAGGTCCTCCCACTCACGGTCGTAGCCCCCCGAGCTGGGGGGCTTCTTCTCGTAAGCCACGTCCAGGTCGGACTCGTTCCAGCTCTTTTGGGGTCTCCGTTTGATCACCAGGTCATCTGAGGGGGACAGGGGTGAGGACCCACCCAAACCCACCCAGAGGTCCTGCAGGACCTCCCAACCCACCCAGAGGGTCCTGCAGGGACAGGGGCTGGGGACCCCACCCAAACCGCAGAGGGTCCTGCAGGGACAGGGGTGAGGACCCCACCCAAACCACAGAGGGTCCTGCAGGGACAGGGGTGAGGACCCCACCCAAACCCAGAGGGTCCTGCACTGGGATATGGGACACTGAGGACCCCCACCCAAACCCAGAGGGTCCTGCAGTTGGGATATGGGGGGGGGGACACTGAGGGACCCCCACCCAAACCCAGAGGGTCCTGCAGTTGGGATATGGGGGCGAGAGGGGACGTGGAACAGCCCCGGGAGGGGTTGGGGACACCCTGGGATGAGGAGACCCCAAAATAGATTGGGGACACCCCCTGGGAGGGGTTGGGGACACTGAGGGGATCAGGACACCCCAAAATGGATTGGGGACACCCCTGGGAAGGGTTGGGGACACAAAGGGGATCAGGACACCCCAAAATGGATTGGGGACACCCCTGGGAAGGGTTGGGGGCACTGAGGGGATCGGGAGATCCCAGAATGGATTGGGGACACCCCAGAATGGATTGGGGACACCCCAGGATGGATTGGGGACACCCCCCAGCGTCCCCCCCATATCCCCACATCCCTGTATCCCCACATGCTCCCCCGATGTCCCCCCGACGCCCACTCGTGGTCCCCCGTGTACCCCCACGTCCCCAGTATCCCCCCACGTCCCCCAGTGCCCCCTCGTGTCCCCTGCCGTGTCCCCCGTGTCCCCCATATCCCCACGGCCCTGTATCCCCCCGCGTCCCCCAAGCCACTCCCGTGTCCCCCCGTGTCGTGTCCCCCATATCCCCACGGCCCCCGTGTCCCCCGTGTCCCCCTTGCCCTGGGCCCGGAAGGCGCCCCGGGGTTCCCGCCGAGGGAGGGTACAGCCCGTGCACCTCGTACAGGGGGGCGCGGGGGCGCGGGGAGGGGGCGCGCTCGGCGAAGAACACGCCCCTCCCCTCCCCCGCCCCCTCCGCGGCCCGCGGGGACCCCCGAGCCCCAAGAGCTCGTAGGAGGACCGGGGTGGGGGGCGATCAGGGGGCCGCGGGGAGGGCGCGACCCCCTCCCCGGGCTGAGCCCCTCGTAGGGCACGGGTAGCACTTTGGGGCGGGGGAGGGGCGCGATCCTCCCCCTCCCCCACTCAGGAACAGGGACGGGCGGGGGAGGCGGGGCGGACCCCAGGGGGTCAGGACCCCCAAAGCTCCCCCACCCCAAAATCCAGGCTGTCCGGGGCCAGGCTCCTCCGGGCCAGCGGCGGAGGGTCCGCCGGGGCTGCTCTGCTCCTGGGGGGAAAACAGGGTGACCCCAGGTGACCCCCATTTTGGGGAGGCAATAGGGTGGTCCCCAACCCCTCCAGCCCTGGGGTTTCTTTGGGGGGGACACGGGGGGAGAGGGGGCGGTGGGTGGGAAATGGGGTGACCCCCAAAATCCCCCCCAAATCTCCCCTTGGGGGGCCTGGGGGGAAGGATTTGGGACGGCCAATGAGGTGCCCCCCAAATCCCACCTCGGGGTGCCCAGGGGGGATTGTGGGCAGACCATGGGGTGCCCCCCAAGTGCCCCCCAAACCCCACCTTGAGGGGCCCAGGGGGGATTCTGGGCAGACAGTGAGGTGCCCCCAACTGCCCCCGAGTGCCCCCAATCCCACCTTGGGGGCCCAGGCAGGGGTTGGGGACAGTCAATGAGGTGCCCCCTGAGTGCCCCCCAATCCCACCTTGGGGGGCCAGGGGGGATTGTGGGCAGACCATGGGGTGCCCCCCAAGTGCCCCGAGTGCTAATCCCACCTTGGGGGCCAGGGGATTGTGGGCAGACCATGGGGTGCCCCCAAATGCCCCCGAGTGCCCCCAATCCCACCTTGGGGGCCAGGAGGATTGTGGGACAGACCATGAGGTGCCCCCAGAGTGCCCCCAGAGTGCCCCCAATCCCACCTCAGGGGGCCAGGGGGTTGTGGGCAGACCATGGGGTGCCCCCAAGTGCCCCCAGAGTGCCCCCAGTCCCACCTTGGGGGGCCCAGGGAGGGGGTTGGGGACAGTCAATGAGGTGCCCCCCCCGAGTGTCCCCCAAAGCCCCCAAATCCCATCTCAGGGGGCCCGGGGGGGTTGTGGGCAGACCATGGGGTGCCCCCCCAAGTGCCCCCCCCAGAGTGCCCCCCAATCCCACCTTGGGGGGCCCGGGGGGGTTGTGGGCAGACCATGGGGTGCCCCCCCAAGTGCCCCCCAAACCCACCTTGGGGGGCCCAGGGAGGGGGTTGGGGACAGTCAATGAGGTGCCCCCCGAGTGCCCCCCAATCCCACCTTGGGGGGCCCTGGCCCGTCCGTCCAGAGCGACTCGAGCTGCCGGGACAGCTCATCCACCTTGGCCACGGCCGTGTCCAGCTCCACCTGCTTCAGGTCCATGTGCTGCATGGCCAGCGCTGCGGGGAGGGGCATTTTTGGGGAGGAGGGTCAGGCTGAACCCCCAAAAGCCGGAGACCCCCAAACCCCCAGAACTCACACTGGAAGGTGAGGTCCAGCAGGTCCTGCGCGCTGCGGAGCCGCTCGCTCGCCATCCTTGGGGGGTTTTTGGGGTCCTGGGGTGGGGGGACACGAGTGGGGTCACCCCACCCCTCGGGGTCACCCCACGCGTGGGGGCAACCCTGGTAGTCTTTCACACCCCTTTTCCCTTTTCCCGGTGCCCCAATCCCTTGGGAACGCCGGGAGCGGGGACGTGTCGGGACCCGCTCGGGCATCGTCATCATCATAACAGTAATTAGCGCTAATTAATCCGCGGGAGGGGGGTGGGAAAGGGAGGGGGCGCGGAGCCGCCCACCCACCCCGGGCAGCGCCCTTTTGGGAGGCGGGAGGCGCCCCATAATTTGGGATGGTGGGACCCCCTCTTTCCATGGGGGTTGGAGGAGATGGAGGGGGAGTTTGGGGATCCCCACCCACCTGAGCTCGGGGTGTGCCCACGGAGGGGGGTTTGGGGGTCAGGGGTGCCCCCGTGCTTAGGGGAGCCCAGGGGGTTGGGGGTTTGGGAACCCACCCAGGAGGCCCACCTGGCCCCACCCCGGGAAATGGGGACAAGCCCGGCGCGTCCCGAGAGGGAACCCGAGGTGCGACCCCAAATCCCCCACACACCGAGAACCAAGGCAGGGCACCCAAGGGTGCTCCCCAAATCCCACCCCCAAATCCCACCAGAGACTCAGGGCAAGGCACCCAAGGGTGCTCCCCAAATTCACCCGGGATCCGAGCACCCATGGGTGCTCCGCCCCACCCCGCACCCAAAATCCCACCCAAGAGTCTGGGGTGCTCCCCAACCCTCCCAGCACCCCCAAATCCCACCCACCACCCAGGTTTCGGGGCACCTACGGGTGCTCCCCTTGCCCGGGACCCCAAATCCCACCCCAGCCCCTCCAAACTGGACCTGGTCACCCAAGGGTGCCCCAGGACCCCAAACTGGACCCAGAGGGTTCCCCCACCCTGGGTCCCTTGAGGGGATGGGTATTTGGGGAGGGTCTGGGGGATGTCAGGGGGTCCTGGGGGGTCCCAGTGGGTGTCGGTGGGTGCTGGGTGGTCTCTCCCTGACAGGGAGTCCTGGGGGGTCCCAGGGGGTGTTGGAGGGGGTCCCAGGGGGTCCCGCAGGGCATCAGTGGGTGCTGGGGGGTCCCAGGGGGTGTTGGGGGGTCCCAGGAGGTCCCAGTGGGTGCTGAGGGGTTCCCAGGAGGTCCCATGGGTTCCGGGGGGTCCCAGTGGGTGTTGGGAAATGCCGGGGGGTCCCAGTGGGTGCTGGGGGATCCCAGAGGGTCCCAGTGGGTGTTGGGAAATGCTGGGGGGTCCCAATGGGTGCTGGGGGGCCTCAAAGGGTCCCAGTGGGTGCTGGGAGGTCCCAGGGGGTTCAGGTGGGTGCCAGGGGCTCCCAGTAGGTCCCAGTGGGTGCTGGGGGGTCCCAGAAGATCCCGTGGGTTCCGGGGGCTCCCAGGAGGGTCCCAGTACCTGCTGGGGGGTGCCAGAGGGTGCCCAAGGGTGCTGAGGGTCCCGAGGGGTGTGGGGGTGCTGGGGAGCCGGGGTGCCGGTGGGTGCTGAGGGTCCCAAGGGTGTCCCAGTACCTGCCGATGGGTGCCGAGGGGTTGCCAATGCGTGCTGAGGGTCTTTGTGGGTGCCCGGGGGTCCCGAGGGGTGTGGGGGGAGCCAGGGGTCCCAGTACCTGCCGGGGGGGTGTCAGGAGGTGCCCAAGGGTGCTGAGGGTCTTTGTGGGTGCCCAAAGGGTCCCGAGGGGTGTGGGGGTGCTGGGGGTCCTAGTACCTGCCGATGGGTGCCGGGGGTGCCCAATGGTGCTGAGGGTCTTTGTGGGTGTCCGAGGGTCCCGAGGGGTGTGGGGAGTGCTGGGGGTCCTAGTACCTGCCAGGGGGTGTCAGGAGGTGCCGGGGGTCCCAATACCTGTCAGTGGTTGCCGGGGGGTGTCAGGAGGTGCCGGGGGTCCCAGTACCTGCCGATGGGTGCCGGGGGTGTCAGGAGGTGCCGGGGGTGTCAGGAGGTGCCGGGGGTCCCAATACCTGTCAGTGGTTGCCGGGGGTGTCAGGAGGTGCCAGGGGGTCCCAGGGGGTTGCCGGTGTGGACGGCGCAGTCCCCACGGCCTCTCCGCCCAATTCCAGAGCGCTGGGTCACGCGGGGAGGGGTGGGAAGGGTGGGGGGCCGCCCTGAGCCCGGGGGTGGGCGGGGGGGGAGGCAGAACCCACGAATGGGGGGGAGGGCGGATCCCACGGGAAGCAGGTCCCACGGTGCGAGATCCCACGGAGGGGAAGATCCCAAGGGGAGAGGGTGGGAGATCCCACGCGGGGGAGGAATCCCAGGAGTTGCGGGTGGGGTGGGGGTGTCGTCCAAATCCTACGAGGGTCAGGGAAGGTCCCAGAGGGCGGTTCCCGCGGGGATAAAGATCCCACGGAGGAGGAGGGGTCTCAGGAGGGGGCGGATCCACGGCGTGAGGGGTGGAGGTTCCCACAGGGGGAGGTCCTGTAGGGAGGAAGATCCCACGAGGGGAGGGCGGATCCCCGGGAGGGTCACAGGTGGGGCGGGTCCCACGGGAAGGACTCTGGTCCCACGGGGGTCCCACGGGAGGAACTCTGGTCCCACGGGAAGGATTTAGATCCCACGGAGGGAGGGGGCAGGGTCCTTTCCACGGGGGAGGGGATCGGATTTCGATCCCACGGGAGGGGTCCCAAAAGAAGGACTCAGATCCCACGGGAAGGACTCAGGTCCCACAGGGGGGTCCCACGGAGTTGTCGGATTTCGATCCCACGGGGGGGGTCCCACGGGAAGGACTCAGCACCCACACGGGGGTCCCACGGAAAGGACTCAGATCCCATAGGGGGGTCCCACGGGAAGGACTCAGGTCCCACAGAAGGGTCCCACTGGAAGGACTCAGATCCCATGGGAAGGACTCAGATCCCACACGGGGGTCCCACGAGAAGGACTCAGCCCCCACGGCGCGCGGGGGGAGGGTCCCGCCTCTCAGACCCCCCCGTTTCCACCCCACGACCCCACCCCAAAAACTCCCCGTACCTGCAGCGCCGGCCCCTCCCAGCCACGCCCGCCCCGTCCCGTCCCGGTGCACGCCGGGAGCCCGACCCAGCCCGACCCTCCCCCTTCCCCGAACCCCTCCGGTGCCCCGAACCCCTCAGGACCCCCTGTTCCTCCGCGGCCCCTCCACCCCAAAAAACCCCCGTGCCGGGGTCGCTCCCGGGGGGTCGCTGCACCTTTAAGAGCCGCCCGCGGTGGCCACGCCCACCCTGGGATTGCCACGCCCATACAGGCGTGGTCATATCCATTTAAGGTGCGATGTGGGCGTGGTCACGGATTAAACCCCGCCCCCTCAGCCCAGCGGTCGGACCGTACCAAGTGTCCCTCGGGACAGGGGGGGATCGGGCGGCCCCTCCCGCGCTCAGTTGCGCGCCCGGAGGGGGGCGGGGCCAGGCGGGCACGAGGCAGCGGCATGGAGGGTAACAGGGGGTTTAGGGGGATTTGGGAGGTTTTAGGGGTTTGGGGGCTCTGGGGGTCGTGGGGAGGCTGGGGATGTGTAGGGACACGGGGAGACACGGGGGGAAGGGGGAGTGGGGGGACAAGGGGGAGTGGCGGCAGCATGGAGGGTAACAGGAGAGGTTGGGGGATTTTAGGGGGGTTTTGGGGGGTCTGGGAGGTCGTGGGGAGGCTGGGGACGTGGGAGACACAGGGGACATGGAGGGACACAGGGGGAAGGGGAGTGGGGGGACAAGGGGCCGGGGGGAGTTGGAGGGACGTGGGGGAAGGTCTGAGGGGCTTGGGGGAGATTTGGGGGTCTGGGGGTCCACCCGGGGGACACTCGGGGGATCTGGGGGGACACCCGGGGAGCTGGGGTCCGTGGGGTGACACGGGGGACACCCGGGGGTCCGTGGGGTGACACTGGGGGCTGGGGTCCATGGGGTGACCCAGGGGACACCCGGGGTCCGTGGGGTGACCCCCTCGTGGCCCCAGGCCGGTGAGGTTCCAGTGCCCCCCCGAGTTCGAGGCGGTGGCCCCATCGTCCCCCTCCCCACTCAGGGGGTCCCCTGGGGGTCCCAAAACGGAGCTGTGGCTGATCCGGGCACCCCTCGACTTCTGCCCCGAGAGGTGAGGGGGGACACGGACACGGGGGGACAGGGACATTGGGGGACACAGGGACATTGGGGGGACAGGGACATTGGGGGGGACACGGACACGGGGGGACAGGGACATTGGGGGGACAGGGACATTGGGGGGACACAGGGACATTGGGGGGGACAGGGACATTGAGGGGACACAGGGACATTGGGGGACAGGGACATTGGGAGGGACAGGGACATTGGGGGGGACAGGGACATAGGGGGACAGGGACATTGAGGGGACATTGGGGGGACACAGGGACATGGGGGGACAGGGACATTGGGGGGACACGGACATGGGAAGAGGGGATATTGGGGGACAGGGATATTGGGGGGATAGGAATATGGTGTGACACAGGGACATAGGAGGGGACAGGGACATGGGGGACAGGGACATTGTGGGGGGACATGGACATGGGAAGGGGGACATTGGGGGCACAGGGACATTGGGGGGACAGGGACATTGGGGGGACATGGACATGGGAAGGAGGGGACATTGGGGGGACAGGGACATTGGGGGACACAGGGACATGGGGGCACAGGGACATTGGGGGACAGGGACATTGGGGGACACAGGGACATTGGGGGACAGGGGATATTGAGGGGACACAGGGACATTGGGGGACAGGGGACATTGGGGGGACAGGGACATTGGGAGGACATGGACATGGGAAGGACAGAGGGACATTGGGGGGACAGGGACATTGGGGGACAGGGACACTGGGGGGACAGGGACATTGGGGAGGACATTGGGGACACAGGGACATTGGGGGGACACAGGGACATTGGGGGACAGGGATATTGGGGGACAGGGGACATTGGGGGACACAGGGATATTGGGGAGGACAGGGGACATTGGGGACACAGGGGACATTGAGGGGACATAGGGACATGGGGACACAGGGGACATTGGGGGGACACGGGACATGGGGGACAGGGACATTGGGGGACACAGGGACATTGAGGGGACAGGGACATTGGGGGACAGGGGACATTGGGGGACATGGGACATTGGGGGGGACAGGGACATTGAGGAGTGGACAGGGACATTGGGGACACAGGGACATTGGGGGACATAGAGACATTGGGGGACACAGGGACATTGGGGGACAGGGACATTGAGGGTGTGACAGGGATATTGGGAGGGGACAGGGACATTGAGGGGGACATTGGGGGACAGGGACATGGGAAGGAGGGGACATTGGGGGACAGGGGACATGGGGGACAGGGGACATTGGGAGGACAGGGGACATTGGGGGGACAGGGATGTTGGGAGGAACAGGGGACATGGGGGGGACATTGGAGGGGACATTGGGGGGACAGGGACATTGGGGGGACAGGGATATTGGGGGACACGGACATTGAGGGGACAGGGGACACTGGAGGGGACATTGGGGGGACATGGGGACATTGAGGGGACATAGGGACATGGGGGGACAGGGGACATTATGGGGGCACAGGGGACATTGGAGGTCAGAGGACATTGGGGGGACAGGGATGTTGGGGGGACAGGGACATTGGGGGGACACAGGGACATTGAGAGGACATTGGAGGACAGGGACACGGGGTCACAGTGTCATTGGAGGAAGTGACAAGAGGGTCACAGTGTCATGGGGGGTGGCACTGAGTGGAGGGAGTCTCACAGTGGCATTTGGGGGTCACGGTGCCGTTGAGGGGGTCACAGTGCCCCCTCACCCCCTCTTTCCCAGCCTGGAGGGTCTGTCGGTGCCCCTGGAGGGGGTGGGGCGGCTCCGCCCCCCGGGTGACAGAGGTGACAATGGTGACAAGGACAGCTCCGGGAGGCTCTACTGCTCAGGGGGCCAGGGGCCCACACCCTCCTCCTCAACCCGGACCCCCCTCGGGCTGTGCCCCCCTCTGCGGGGCTGCATCACCATCAGCCAGAGCTGAGCCCCCTGACCTCGGGGGAGCCCCAGGACCCCCACGAGGAAGAAGAGGAAGAGGAAGATGAAAGAGCCCCCTGAGGTGGCCACGCCGAGGAGGGGCCAGGACCACCCCCACTGCAGAACTGGGGGGTCCTGAGGGCTGGGGTCCTGAGGGCTGGGGTCCCTGAGGGGCTGGGGGACCACGAAGAAGAAGAAGAAGAAGCACAAGAAGGAACGGCCTGAGTGACCCTGGGGGTCCCAAAAGTGACTCTGAGGGTCCCCTGAGTGACCCTCAGTGACCCTGGGGATCCCCAAAGTGACCCTGGGGGGTCTCTGAGTGACCCCGGGGTGTTCCCTGTGCCCCCCCCCCTCAAAGCCACGTCCCCAATAAACGTCCTTTATTCCAGAGGGCGATTTTTGGGGGGGGTTGGAGGGTTCTGCTCAGCGGGGGCTCTTCAGGAAGGGCTCGTGCAGGACATCGAAGAGTCGCTTGGCCTGGGGGGGGGACAAAGGGGGAGTGGCCCTGTCCCCACTGTCCTTTGTGTGCCCCCACTGTCCCTTGTGTCCCCCCAATGTCCCCCCACGTCCCCACGTGTCTCCCCTGTGTCGTGTCCCCCCAATGTCCCGCTGTGTCCCCTCACATCCCCCCCTGTACCCCCCACTGTCCCTTTGTCCTCCATGTCCCCCAGTGTCTCCCTCATGTCCCTGTGTCCGCTCCATGTCCCCTCTCCTGTATCCCCTATGTCCCCTCATGCCTGTGTCCCCACTGTCCCCCAATGTCCATTCCATGTCCCTGCTGTCTCCCCAGTGTCCCTCATATCCCCCATGTCCCCCATGCCCCTGTGAGCCCCCATGTCCCCCAGTGTCCCCCAGTGTCCCTGTGACCCCTCACCCCCCCAGTGTCACCTTCTGGGTTCCACGCAGGACAGAGGGACAAATCCTCGCGGGCCGCGCCCACCACGCCCGCCAGAGACTGAGGGGGACAAGGGAGTCAGGGCTGAGGGACTCAGGGGGCTTGGGGACACCCAGGGCTGGGGACCCAGGGGCTTGGGGACACCCCATGGACGCAGGGTGACACTCACCCCAAAAGCGCTGAGGAGGCTCAGCACGTCCGTCCTGTTCACGGACTTGACGCTGGTCAGGCAGTCCGTCATCTGCGGGGACACGGGGGATGGGGACAAGGGGTGGGGACAATGGGGACACAGGGACAGGGACAAGGGGTGGGGACAATGGGGACACAGGGACAGTGGGGACACAGGGACAAGGGGTTGGGGACAATGGGGACAGGAATAGGGAAATGGTGGGGACAAAGGTGGAGGATGAAGGGGACGGGGTGGGGACAGGGACAAGGGGTTGGGGACAGTGGGGACATGGAGACAGTGGGGACAGAGATGGGCACAGTGGGGACAGGGACAAGGGTTGGGGACAGTGGGGACAGGGACAAGAGGTTGGGGACAATGGGGACACAGGGACAAGGGGTTGGGGACAGTGGGGACACAGGGACAGGGACAGGGAGATGGTGGGGACAAAGGTGGAGGATGAAGGGGACGGGGTGGGGACAGGGACAAGGGGTTGGGGACAGTGGGGACATGGGGACAGTGGGGACAGAGGTGGGGACAGTGGAGACAAGGACAAGGGGTGGGGACAACAGGGACAAGGGGTTGGGGACAGCGGGGACAGGGACAAGAGGTGGGAACAGTGGGGTGGGGACAGCAGGGACAGGGACAGGGGGACACAACAGCCACAGATGAGGGGACATCACAGTGGGGACAGGATGGGGAGGGACAGAGACAGAGACGGGGGCAGGGGACATCACTGTCCCCAAATGAGGTACAGGGGACATCAATGTCCCCAGATTGGGGACAGGGGACAGGGGGGCTCACCCTGGACACAAAATCGTGCTCCCCCCTCTCCCTGAGGGCCAGGGGACACCAATGTCCCCAGATGTCCCCAAATGAGGGGACAGGGGACAGGGGGGCTCACCCTGGACACAAAGTCGTGCTCCCCCCTCTCCCAGAGGGCCAGGGGACACCAATGTCCCCAGATGTCCCCAGATGAGGGGACAGGGACTCACCCTGGACACAAAGTCGTGCTCCCCCCTCTCCCTGAGGGCCAGGGGACACCAATGTCCCCAAATGAGGGGACAGGGGACAGGGGGGCTCACCCTGGACACAAAGTCGTGCTCCCCCCTCTCCCTGAGGGCCAGGGGACATCAATGTCCCCAAATGAGGGGACAGGGACTCACCCTGGACACAAAGTCGTGCTCCCCTCTCCCTGAGGGCCAGGGGCACCAATGTCCCCAAATGAGGGACAGGGGACAGGGGCCTCACTCCTGACACAAATCGTGCTCCCCTCTCCCTGAGGGCCAGGGTACATCAATGTCCCTCAAATGAGGGGACAGGGACTCACCCTGGACACAAAGCCGTGCTCCCTCTCTCCCTGAGGGCCAGGTGACACCAATAAACTCCCAGATGTCCCCAAATGAGGGGACAGGGACTCACCCTGGACACAAAGTCGTGCTCCCCCCTCTCCCTGAGGGCCAGGTGACACCAATGTCCCCAGATGTCCCCAAATGAGGGACAGGGACATGGGGGCTCACCCTGGACACAAAGTCGTGCTCCCCCCTCTCCCTGAGGGCCAGGGGACATCAGTGTCCCCAGACTGGGGACAGGGGGGGCTCACCCTGGACACAAAGTCGTGCTCCACCCTCTCCCTGAGGGCCAGGGGACATCAGTGTCCCCAAATGAGGGGACAGGGACTCACCCTGGACACAAAGTCGTGCTCCCCCCTCTCCCTGAGGGCCAGGGGACATCAGTGTCCCCAGATGAGGGGACAGGGGACAGGGGGGGCTCACCCTGGACACAAAGTCGTGCTCCACCCTCTCCCTGAGCAGGTCCGGGGGTTTCTGCTCGTAGGCCTTGTAGGTCTCCAGGTACCTCCCGGCCTCCTCGGGGCTGGGGGGACACGGGGGGTCAGAGGGGTGACAGGGGGTGACAGGGGGGTCAGGGGGTGGCAGGGGACAGGGGACAGCCCTTACCTCCAGGCCACCAGGAGGGTGCAGTCGGTGAGGATGCAAACCTTGGCCAGGTCCTTCAGAGACTGCTGGGGGTCCTTCTGGGGGGACAAGGGACAGGGTGAGGGGGACAGGGGACAAGGGACAGGGTGAGGGTCCTTCTGGGGTGGGGGGGACAGGGGACAGGGTGAGGGGGACAGGGGACAGGGGGACAGGGTGAGGGGGACAAGGGACAGGGTGAGGGGGACAAGGGACAGGGTGGGGGTGACAAGGGACAGGGTGGGGGCCTTCTGGGGTGGGGGGGACAGGGGACAGGGGGACAAGGGACAGGGTGAGGGTCCTTCTGGGGGTGGGGGACAGGGGACAGGGTGAGGGGGACAAGGGACAGGGGTGGGGGCCTTCTGTGGAGGGGGACAGGGGACAAGGGACAGGGTCCTTCTGGGGGTGGGGGGACAGGGTGAGGGGGACAGGGGACAGGAGGAGGGTCCTGCTGTGGAGGGACGGGGACAAGGGACAGGGTGAGGGTGACAAGGGACAGGGTGAGGGTCCTTCTGGGGTGGGGGCGACAGGGGACAGGGTGAGGGGGACAAGGGACAGAGGGACAAGGGACAGGGATAGGGTGAGGGGGACAAGGGACAAGGGGCAGGGTGAGGGGGACAGGGGACAGGGGGACAAGGGACAGGGTGGGGGGGACAAGGGACAGGGGGACAAGGGACAGGGTGAGGGTCCTGCTGTGTCTCCTCTGGGGGTACAGGGTGACAAGGGACAGGGAGGTGCCAAGAGTCAGGACAAGGCCAGGGGAGGCGACAAGGATGCTGTGCCAAGGCCCAGGGGAGGTGACAAGGGCCAGGGAGGTGACAAAGGGACAGGGAGGTGACAGGGGTCAGGACAAGCTCAGGGCAGGTGACAAAGGGCTCTCACCACGTCCACCTGCAGCAGCAGCACCTGCAGGCCGAAGGAGCGGCCCAGGGGAGGTGACAGGGGACAGGGAGGTGACAGGGGAGGTGACAGGGGACAGGGAGGTGACAAAGGGACAGGGAGGTGACAAAGGGACAGGGAGGTGACAGGACTCACCACATCCACCTGCAGCAGCAGCACCTGCAGGCCGAAGGAGCGGCCCAGGGGAGGTGACAGGGGAGACAGGACAAGGCCAGGGGAGGTGACAGGGGACAGGGAGATGACAGGGGGGTGACAGGGGAGGTGACAGGGGACAGGGAGGTGACAGGGGAGGTGACAGGACTCACCACATCCACCTGCAGCAGCAGCACCTGCAGCCCAGGGGAGGTGACAGGGGACAGGACAAGGCCAGGGAGGTGACAGGGGACAGGGAGATGACAAAGGGACAGGGAGGTGACAGAGGGACAGGGAGGTGACAGGGGAGGTGACAGGGAGGTGACAGGACTCACCACATCCACCTGCAGCAGCAGCACCTGCAGGCCGAAGGAGCGGCCCAGGGGAGGTGACAGGGGACAGGGAGGTGACAAAGGGACAGGGAGGTGACAGGGGAGGTGACAGGGGAGGTGACAAAGGGACAGGACTCACCACATCCACCTGCAGCAGCAGCACCTGCAGGCCGAAGGAGCGGCCGAGGCGCCGCAGCCGCTCGTGGATGTACTCGGGGTTCAGGTGGTGGTACCTCAGGCTGGGGGACACAAAGAGGGGCTGGGGGGGCTTCAGGAGCACCCCCAGACCCCTCCCCCGTGTCCCCCCCCCGGCTGTGTCACCTGAGGAACAGGGCACAGGTGCTCTGGCCCAGCACGTAGTCAGGGATGACGTCCCCGAACTCCCAGGGGACGTTGCGGATGAATTTCAGCACCGGGTTCCCGCTGGGGGGAAAGGGGGTTTGGGGGCTTGGGGGGTTTGGGGGACCCCCAGACTCCCACAGAGGTCATCCCGGTCCCAGCACACCCCAGGATGGGGGTTTTGTGTGTCCTGAGACCACCCAGGGGGGGCAACCCCCCTCAATTCTGTGGCCCATGGTCCTGATGGATTTAGGGGTGGGGGTCCCCCTGAGCCCCCCGATTTTGGGGGACAGTCCCCCAAAACTCCTCCATAGTGGGGAACAGACCCCCCCAAACCCCATGATATTGGGGGACAGACCCCCCCCCCAAACCCCACAATAATGGGGGACAGATCCCCCCAAACTCCACAATATTGGGGGACAGACCCCACCCCCTGAGCCCTCTGATTTTGGGGGACAGACCCCCCCAAACCCCTCCATATTGGGGTACAGACCCCTCCCCCAAATCCCAAAATAATGGGGGACAGACCCACCCCAAACCCCAAAATATTGGGGGACAGACCCCTCCCCTAAATCCCAAAATAATGGGGGACAGACCCACCCCAAACCCCAAAATATTGGGGGACAGACCCCCCCAAACCCCACAATATTGGGGGACAGACCCCCCCATCCAAACCCCACAATATTGAAGGACAGACCCCTCCCCCAAATCCCACAATACTGGGGGACAGACCCCCCCCAAACCCCAAAATATTGGGGGACAGACCCTCCCCAACCCCACAATAATAGGGGACAGACCCCACCCCAAACCCCTCCATATTGGGGGACAGACCCCTCCCCAAACCCCACGATATTGGGGGACAGACCCCCCAAACCCCACGATATTGGGGACAGACCCCCCCAAACCCCACAATAATGGGGACAGACCCTCCCCAAACCCCTCAATATTGGGGACAGACCCCCCAAACCCCTCCATATTGGGGACAGACCCTCCCCAAATCCCACAATACTGAGGGACAGACCCTCCCCAAATCCCACAATACTGGGGGACAGACCCCCCAAATCCCACAATATTGGGGGACAGACCCCACCCCAAATCCCACAATATTGGAGGACAGACCCCTCCCTCAAACCCCCTGATATCAATGCACAGACCCCTCCCCACCCCAAAATCCCCGGACCTGGCGGGGGCTGACGATGATGCTGCTGCTCTTGGTGCCCGGTTTGGGGCGGGCAGAGGCACCTCCCGCTCCCCGGGGTCGCGGGGGGCCGAGGGTCGTTTGGGGGTTCCCGAGCTCCCCACCACGAACTCGGCGTAGGAGCCGCGACCCCCGGGAGAGGAGGGGGAGGGGGCTCAGCGGGGGGCCGAGGAGGGTCTGAAGAGTGATGGGATCTGGGGGTGGGTGGGGAGGGGGTCAGATCAAGAGTGGGGACCCCAGAAACCACACCCATCCCAGCCGGGTCACCTGTGGGACCCCAGATCCCCACCAATCACTTCCCGGTCACCCGTGGGACCCCTAGACCCCCAACTCCCTTTCCCGGCCGCCCGTGGGACCCCAGACCTCCCAATCACTTCCCGGTCACCCGTGGGACCCCAGTCCTCTCCCCCATCCCCGGTCACTCGTGGGACCCCCAGACCCCCCCAGTCACTTCCTGGTCACCCGTGGGACCCCAGTCCCTCCCCCTATTCCCGGTCACCCGTGGGACCCCAGAACCCTCCACCACTTCCCGGTCGCCCGTGGGACCCCCAGTCCCATTCCCCCATCCCTGGTCACCCGTGGGACCCCAGTCCCTTCCTCCCTATCCCCGGTCACCCGTGGGACCCCAGTCCCATTCCCCCACTCCCCGGTCACCCATGGGACCCCCAGTCCCTCCCCTATTCCCGGACACCCGTGGACCCCAGTCCCATTCCCCCATCCCCGGTCACTGTGGGACCCTCAGTCCCTCCCCTATTCCCGGTCACCTGTGGGACTCTAGCACTCCCCACCACTTTCCGGTCACCCGTGGGACCCCAGTCTCTCTCCCCACCCTCCCACGTCTCCCCTTCCCCGGTCACTGTGGGGTCCCCAGTCCCTCCCCCCAGTACCGGGGTCGTGGTCCCTCCTGTCTCAGCGTGAGCGCCGCCGCTTCCCGCGGGGGGGTCGGGCTCGGGCTCCGGCTCCATGGCGGGGGTCGCGGGTGGGTTCAGGGGGTCCCGGGAGTCCCCAGGGGGTCCCGGGTGGGTTTGGGGATCCGGGTGGGATCGGAGGCTCCAGGGGCGTTTGGGTCGGGGTCCCTCCCGGTGGATTTGGGGGTCTCGGGTGGTTTGGGGGTCTCCGGTGGATTAAGGGGTCCCAGTGGGTTTGGGGAGGGGTCCCAGTGGTTCTGGGGGGTCCCGGTGGGTTTGGGAGGGGTCCTGGTGGTTCTGGGGGGTCCTGGTAGATCTAGGAGGGGTCCCGGTGGATTTGGGGAGGGGTCTCGGTAGATCTGGGGGGGGTCCCGGTCGATTTGGGAGGGGTCTCGGGTAGCTTTGGGAGGGGTCCTCGGGATGAGTTTTGGGGGTCCCGGTTTTGCCGCGCGCCCTGGTAACCGCGGAAGGGCGTGGCCTTGCTCGCTTGGCCCCGCCCCTTTCTCCCGCTCAGCGCCACCATTGGCCAGCCTCACTGTCAATCAAACCGCCCCGGCCCCGCCCTCTCCCGGATGAGGAAGGGGCGATCCCGGAACGGTGGGCGGGGCTACGAAGAGGAAGCCACGCCCATCGGAGCTCCCCCTGCCCCCTCCCCAGCCCGGGGTCCCTGGGGTCCTCAGACCCCCCCACCTCCCATTCACCCAGGCGACACCACCCCCAGCCCGGGGTCCCTGGGAGTCCTCAAACCCCTCCCCATTCCCGGGTGACACCCCAGCCCAGGGGTCCCTAGGGGTCCTCAAACCCCCCCCATTCCCGGGTGACACCCCCAGCCCGGGGTCCTCAAGCCCTCCCTCACCCATTCCAGGGTGACACCCTGCCAGCCCGGGGGTCCTGGGGTCCTCAAACCCCCTCCCCATTCCCGGGTGACACCCCCAGCCCGGGGGTCCCTGGGGGTCCTCAAACCCCCCCTCCCCCCATTCCCGGGTGACACCCCCAGCACGGGGGTCCCTGAACGACCCCCCACGTGTGACACCCTCGGGCCCGGGATAGGGGTCTCTGACCCCAGGGAGGGGGTCCCAGACACGGGAGGGGGGGGGTGGTCCCTGCTCCCGGGGGGGTCTCCGATCCCCCTGAGGTTCAGGGTGCCCCCCACCCCGCACCTAAAGGGGAGCTCAGGATCCCCCCCCTTCCCTCTAAATGAGCCCCCCAGGGGCCCTTCTACAGCAAGGAGAGACCCCCCCCCAAAAAAAGGTCGGGGGGGGACACAAAGGGGGAGAGACCTCAAATGGTCCTTCAGAGTAGAGACCCCCCCAAAAAAGGGTTGGGGGGGCACAAAGGGGGAACCCCAAATGGTCTTTAAGTAGAGACCCCCCCAAAAAGGATCTTGGGGTCAGAGAGGGGGGGCACAGAAAGGGAACCCCAAATGGTCTTTCAAAGACCCCCCCCCCCAAAAAGGATCTTGGGGTCAGAGAGTGGGGCACAGAAAGGGAACTCCAAATGGTCCTTCAGAGTAGAGACCCCCCCCCAAAAAACAGTCTGAGGGTCAGGGAGGGGGGTACAGAAAGGGAACCCCAAATGGCCTTCAAAGACCCCCCCCCCCAAAAGGATCTTGGGGTCAGAGAGGGGGGGACAGAAAGGGAACCCCAAATGGTCTTTAAGTAGAGACCCCCCCCAAAAGGATCTTGGGGTCAGAGAGGGGGGTAAAGAAAGGGAACCCCAAATGGTCCTTCAGAGACCCCCCCAAAAAGGACCTTGGGGTCAGAGAGGGGGGGACAGAAAGGGAACCCCAAATGGTCCTTCAGAGACCCCCCCAAAAAGGACCTTGGGGTCAGAGAGGGGGGCACAGAAAGGGAACTCCAAATGGTCCTTCAGAGACCCCCCCAAAATCAGTCCTGGGGGTCAGAGAGGGGGGGACAGAAAGGGAACCCCAAACAGTCCCTAAAGTAGAGCCCCCCACCCCCCTCCCCAAAAAGGTCTCGTGGGGGTCCTGGGCGAGTTGAGGGGACCCAGTTGAGTCAGGAGGGGTCATTTTTTGGTGGTTTTTTTTTGGTGGGGTTAAATCAGCTTTTGTTTGTTTGTTTGTTTTGTTTTTGTTTTTTATGGAAGAGGCCACGAACTCGGAGGGAGCCTCGGCCCTAAAACACCGGCACGATGGGATGGGGGGAGCACGACATGGGGGGGAGGGCACAACGTGAAACACAGCGTGGGGAGGGAAGGGGGACAGAGCCCCCAAAGCCCACCACCACCACCCCCCTCCCTCCCTCCTCCAAAACCCCACCGGGGCAGGGAGAGATTGGGGGGAGGAGGGACAAAACAACCCCAAACCCAACGGCTGAGAGAGGAGGAGGAGGAGGAGGAGGTGGGAAAGGAGGTGGAAATGGGGGTTAATCCTTCTTTTTGTCCTCTGGAGGCTTCTCCTGGCCCGGGAAAGGGAGGAGGGGTGGTGGTGAGGGGGGGGTTGTTTTGGGGGCTCACTCCCGGAGGCTCCTCCCACTGAGGCCGAACTCGTTGACGCGCGTGAGGTCGACGCGGTAGATCCAGCGCTGGTAGAGGTAAATGAAGAACACCACGTCTGCTCCAGCCGCGTTTTTTGGGGGGAAAACAGGGAAAAAAAGAGGGGAAAAAGGAGGTGAGGGGCTTAAAATAAAAAGCAGCCCCCCAAAACCCCAAATTCCCCCTGAATTTGCCCCCCTTACCGTCCCGCAGGCAGCCTATCCTGTACATCATGGGCATCCTGATGACGAAGGCGAACAGGTCGTCGATGAAGGTGTTGAGGGCCTTGTAGGTCAACATCCTCCAGGGCAGGTGGGCCACCGACTTCAGCTTGTAGTTGATGAACAGCTGGGGGGTCATGGTGATGAAGCCTGGGGGGGAAAAAAGAGGGGGAGACCACCCGAGTGTGGCCCTTGTCAGGGGAAGGGGGGTGAGGAGGGGATGATTCCCCCTAAAAATCGACCCCCTGAAAAGTGACCCCCTCCCCACCCCAGAATGGACATCCCCAACCCAAAAGAGTGATGCCCTCAACAAAAAAAATGATTACCCCTCAAAAATTGATCCGCCCACCCCAAAAATGGACAGCCCCACCCCAAAAAACTGATCCCCCCAAAAAAACTGATCCCCTCACCAAAAAAACTGATTACCCCTCAAAAATTGATCCACCTACCCCAAAAATGGACACCCCCACCCCAAAAAGCTGACCCCCTCACCAAAAAAAATGATTACCCCTCAAAAATTGATCCACCCACCCCAGAATGGACAGCCCCACCCCAAAAACCGACCCCCTCACCAAAAAAACTGATTACCCTCAAAATTGATCCACTCACCCCAAAAACTGATCCCCACCCCCTAAACTGACCTCCCTAAAAACCTGACCCCCACCCCAAAAATGAGTCCCCAAAACTGACCCACCTACCACAAAACTGACCACCCCAACCCCAAACCAACCCCAAAACTGAGTCCCCTGACCCCAAAACTGAACCCTGACCCAAACTGACCCCAAAACTGACCCCCTGACCCCAAACTGACCCCCAAGACCTGACCCCAAACTGACCCCAAACTGACCCCAAACTGACCCCAAACTGACCCCAAAACTGACCCCAAAACTGACCCCTAAACTGACCCACTGACCCCAAACTGACCCCTGACCCCAAACTGACCCCAAACTGACCCCCTGACCCCAAACTGACCCCTCGACCCCAAACTGACCCCAAACTGACCCCTGACCCCAAACTGACCCCAAATGCCCCCAAACTGACCAAAGGTGAGCAGGAAGCCGTAGAGCATGGAGAGCACCCAGGAGTACCAGCCCTTGTGCTCCAGGTACAGGAGGCTGGGCCAGCCCCAAACTGACCCCCCTGACCCCAAAACTGACCCCAAAACGACCCCAAACTGACCCCTGACCCCAAACTGACCCCAAAATGCCCCCCAAACTGACCAAAGGTGAGCAGGAAGCCGTAGAGCATGGAGAGCACCCAGGAGTACCAGCCCTTGTGCTCCAGGTACAGCAGGCTGGGCCAGCCCCAAACTGACCCCAAAACTGACCCCTGACCCCAAAACTGACCCCCTGACCCCAAAAATGACCCCCTGACCCCAAAAATGACCCCCAAACTGACCAAAGGTGAGCAGGAATCCGTAGAGCATGGAGAGCACCCAGGAGTACCAGCCCTTGTGCTCCAGGTACAGGAGGCTGGGCCAGCCCCAAACTGACCCCAAAACTGACCCCCTGACCCCAAAACTGACCCCCCTGACCCCAAAAATGACCCCAAAATGCCCCCCAAACTGACCAAAGGTGAGCAGGAAGCCGTAGAGCATGGAGAGCACCCAGGAGTACCAGCCCTTGTGCTCCAGGTACAGGAGGCTGGGCCAGCCCCAAACTGACCCCAAAACTGACCCCCCTGACCCCAAAACTGACCCCAAACTGACCCCCTGACCCCAAACTGACCCCCTGACCCCAAAACTGACCCCCCTGACCCCAAAAATGCCCCCCAAACTGACCAAAGGTGAGCAGGAAGCCGTAGAGCATGGAGAGCACCCAGGAGTACCAGCCCTTGTGCTCCAGGTACAGGAGGCTGTACACGGCGTAGCAGCCCAGCAGGGGGAACAGCAGCCACGACAGGTACCGGAATGCCATCTGGGAATGGGGAATCCAGGGAATTTATAACCCCAGGGAATGGGGAATGGGGGTAATGCCATCTGGGAATGGGAATTCCAGGGAATTCAGCACCCCAGGGAATGGGGAATGGGGGTAATGCCATCTGGGAATGGGAATTCCAGGGAATTCAGCACCCCAGGAATGGGGAATGGGAGTAATGCCATCTGGGAATGGGAATTCCAGGGAATTTATAACCCCAGGGAATGGGATATCTAGGGAATTCAGCATCCCAGGGAATGGGGAATGAGGGTAATGCCATCTGGGAATGGGAATTCCAGGGAATTTATAACCCCAGGGAATGGGATATCTAGGGAATTCAGCATCCCAGGGAATGGGGAATGGGGGTAATGCCATCTGGGAATGGGAAATCCAGGGAGTTCAGCATCCCAGGGAATGGGAAATCCAGGGAATTCAGCATCCCAGGGAATGGGGAATGGGGGTAATGCCATCTGGGAATGGGAAATCCAGGGAATTTATAACCCCAGGGAATGGGGAATGCCATCTGGGAATGGGGAATCCAGGGAATTTATAACCCCAGGGAATGGGGAATGCCATCTGGGAATGGGAAATCCAGGGAATTCAGCACCCCAGGGAATGGGGAATGGGGGTAATGCCATCTGGGAATGGGAAATCCAGGGAATTTATAACCCCAGGGAATGGGAAATCCAGGGAATTCAGCACCCCAGGGAATGGGGAATGGGGGTAATGCCATCTGGGAATGGGAGATCTAGGGAATTTATAACCCCAAAGAATGGGATATCCAGGGAATTCAGCATCCCAGGGAATGGGGAATGGGGGTAATGCCATCTGGGAATGGGAATTCCAGGGAATTTACAACCCCAGGGAATGGGGAATGGGGGTAATGCCATCTGGGAATGGGAAATCCAGGGAATTCAGCACCCCAGGGAATGGGGAATGGGGGTAATGCCATCTGGGAATGGGAAATCCAGGGAATTTATAACCCCAGGGAATGGGGAATGGGGGTAATGCCATCTGGGAATGGGAATCCAGGGAATTCAGCACCCCAGGGAATGGGGAATGGGGGTAATGCCATCTGGGAATGGGAAATCCAGGGAATTTATAACCCCAGGGAATGAGGAATGGGAATGGGGAGGGGAGGTAACCCCATCTGGGAATGGGACCAGGACAGAGGGGCCAGGGCTGGGAATTCGGGAACCCCCGAGCGAAGAAGGGAGAGCCCATCCCGAGGTGGGAATGAGGCCCCCCTAAAACGAGACCCCCCCATCCCATCCCATCCATCCCATCCCATCCCATCAATCCTATCCCATCCCTGTATCCCATCCCATCCCATCCCTGTATCCCATCCCTGTATCCCATCTCATCTCTATCTCATCACTCTCTATCTCATCCTATCTCTGTATCTCATCTCTATCCTATCCTATCAATTCTATCTTCATCTCTATCTCTGTATTCCCATCCTCTATCTCTGTATCTCATCCTATCTCTATCCTATCCTATCCCATCCCTGTATCCCATCCCATCCCATCCCATCAATCCCATCTCATCCCATCCCTGTATCCCATCCCATCCCTGTATCCCATCCCATCCCATCCCATCCATCCCATCCCATCCCTGTATCCCATCCCTGTATCCCATCCCTGTATCCCATCCATCCCCATCCCATCCCATCAATCCCATCCCATCCCCACTCCCACCTACCCTGTATCCCATCAATCCCATCTTATTCCCATCCCATCAACTCTATCCCATCCCATCCCATCAATCTCCATCCCATCTCTATCTCTGTATCCTCACTCCTATCTCTATCTCATCTCTATCTCTATCTCTACCTCTATCCCTTGCTATCTCTATCTCCTGTATCTCTATCTCTTGTATCTCTATCTCTATCTCTATCTCTATCTCTGTATCTCTATCTCTATCTCTATCTTGTATCTCTCATCTCTATCTTAGTAATTCTATCTCTGTATCTCTATCTCTATCTCTATCTCTCATTCTATCTCTATCAATTCTATGCTATCTCTATGCCATCTCTACTCTATCTCTATCTCTATCAATTCTATCTTGTATCTCTATCTCTGTATTCTGCCCCCCAAAACCCCCAACCTCCTCTGAATTTGCTCCCTTACCGTCCTCCGCAGGCAGCCTATCCTGTACATCATGGGCATCCTGGATGACGAAGGCGAAGAGGTCGTCGATGAAGGTGTTGAGGGCCTTGTAGGTCAACATCCTCCAGGGCAGGTGGGCCACCGACTTCAGCTTGTAGTTGATGAACAGCTGGGGTCATCGGTGATGAAGCCTGGGGAAAAGAGGGGAGACCACCAAGTGTGGCCTCTTGTCAGGGGAGGGGGGTGAGGAGGGATGATCCCCTAAAAATCGACCCCTGAAAGTGACCCCTCCCCACTTCCCAGAATGGACATCCCCAACCCAAAAGAGTGATGCCTCAACAAAAAAATGATTACCCTCAAAATTGATCCACCTAACCCCAAAATGGACAGACCTACCCTCAAAAACTGATCTCCCAAAAAAACTGATCCCTCACCAAAAAACTGATTACCCTCAAAATTGGATCCACTCCACCCCAGAATGGACACCTTCACTCCCAAAAAGCTGACCCTCACCAAAAAATGATTACCCCTCAAAATTGATCCACCTACCCCAGAATGGACAGCCCCACCCCAAAACCGACTTCTCACCAAAAACTGATTACCCTCAAAATTGATCCACTCACCCCAAAAACTGATCCCGCTCCCTAAACTGACCTCCCTAAAACCTGACTCTCACCTCCAAAAATAGAGTCCTCAAAACTGACTCCACCTACCACAAAACTGACCACCCTAACCCCCAAACTAACCCCTCAAAGCTGAGCCCCTGACTCCCAAAACTGAAACCCCCTGACCTCCAAACTGACCCTCAAAACTGACCCCCTGACCCCAAACTGACCCTAAACCCTGACCCCCTGACCCCAAACTGACCCCAAAACTGACCCCAAACTGACCCCAAACTGACCCCAAAACTGACCCCAAAACTGACTCCAAACTGACCCCCTGACCCCAAACTGACCCCCTGACCCCAAACTGACCCCTAAACTGACCCCCTGACCCCCAAACTGACCCCCTGACCCCAAAACTGACCTCCAAAACTGACCCCTGACCCCTAAACTGACCCCTAAAATGCCCCCAAACTGACCAAAGGTGAGCAGGAAGCCGCAGAGCATGGAGAGCACCTAGGAGTACCAGCCCTTGTGCTCCAGGTACAGGAGGCTGGGCCAGCCCCAAACTGACTCCCCTGACCCCAAACTGACCCCTAAAACGACTCCTCAAACTGACCCCTGACCCCAAACTGACCTCCCCAAAATGCCCCCAAACTGACCAAAGGTGAGCAGGAAGCCGTAGAGCATGGAGAGCACCCAGGAGTACCAGCCCTTGTGCTCCAGGTACAGCAGGCTGGGCCAGCCCCAAACTTGACCCCAAAACTGACCCCAAACTGACCCCAAAACTGACTCCCCTGACCCCAAAAATGACCCCTGACCTCCCAAAATGACCCCTAAACTGACCCAAAGGTGAGCAGGAAGCCAGAGAGCATGGAGAGCACCCAGGAGTACCAGCCCTTGTGCTCCAGGTACAGGAGGCTGGGCCAGCTCCCAAACTGACCCCCTGACCCCAAACTACTCGACTCCTAAACTGACCCCCTGACCCCAAATATGACCCCAAAATGACCCCAAACTGACTCAAAGGTGAGCAGGAAGTCAGAGAGCATGGAGAGCACCCAGGAGTACCAGCCCTGTGCTCCAGGTACAGGAGGCTGTGCCAGCCCCAAACTGACCCCAAAACTGACCCCTGACCCCAAAACTGACCCCAAACTGACCCCTGACCCCCAAACTGACCCCCTGACCCCAAAACTGACCCCTGACCTCAAAAATGCCCCCTAAACTGACCAAAGGTGAGCAGGAAGCCAGTAGAGCATGGAGAGCACCCAGGAGTACCAGCCCTTGTGCTCCAGGTACAGGAGGCTGTACACGGCGTAGCAGCCCAGCAGGGGGAACAGCAGCCACGACAGGTACCGGAATGCCATCTGGGAATGGGAATTCCAGGAATTTATAACCCCAGGGAATGGGGAATGGGGTAATGCCATCTGGGAATGGGAATTCCAGGAATTTATAACCCCAGGAATGGGGGAATGGGGGTAATGCCATCTGGGAATGGGAATTCCAGGAATTCAGCACCCCAGGAATGGGGAATGGGGTAATGCCATCTGGGAATGGGAAATCCAGGGAATTTATAACCCCAGGGAATGGGATATCTAGGGAATTCAGCATCCCAGAGAAGGGGAATGAGGGTAATGCCATCTGGGAATGGGAATTCCAGGGAATTTATAACCCCAGGGAATGGGAATCTAGGGAATTCAGTAACCCCAGGGAATGGGAATGGGGTAATGCCATCTGGGAATGGGAAATCCAGGAGTTCAGCATCCTAGGGAATGGGAAACCAGAGAATTCAGTATCCTAGGGAATGGGGAATGGGGGTAATGCCATCTGGGAATGGGAAATCCAGGGAATTTATAACCCCAGGAATGGGGAATGCATCATCTGGGAATGGGGAATCCAGGGAATTTATAACCTCAGGAATGGGGAATGGGGGTAATGCCATCTGGGAATGGGGAACTAGGAATTCAGCACCTAGGAATGGGGAATGGGGAATGCCATCTGGGAATGGGAAATCTAGGAATTTATAACCCCAGGGAATGGGAAATCCAGGAATTCAGCACCCCAGGAATGGGGAATGGGGTAATGCCATCTGGGAATGGGAATTCTAGGGAATTTATAACCCCAAAGAATGGGATATCCAGGAATTCAGCATCCCAGGAATGGGGAATGGGGTAATGCCATCTGGGAATGGGAATTCCAGGAATTTACAACCCCAGGAATGGGAATGGGGCAATGCCATCTGGGAATGGAAATCCAGGAATTCACAACCCCAGGGAATGGGGAATGGGGTAATGCCATCTGGGAATGGGAAATCCAGGAATTTATAACCCCAGGAATGGGGAATGGGGTAATGCCATCTGGGAATGGGAATCCAGGAATTCAGCAATTTAGGAATGGGGAATGGGGTAATGCTATCTGGGAATGGGAAACTAGGAATTTATAACCCTAGGAATGAGGAATGGAAATGGGGAGGGAGGTAATCCCATCTGGGAATGGGACCAGGACAGAGGGGCCAGGGCTGGGAATTGGGAACCCCCGAGCGAAGAAGGGAGAGCTCATCCTGAGGTGGGAATGAGGCCCCCTAAAACGAGACATCCTCATCCCATCCTCAGTCCATCCATCCCATCCTCATCCTCTATCTCTATCCCTAGATCCCATCTCATCCTTATTCCCATATCTCATCCTGTATCTCATCCATCCTCATCTCTATCATCTTGTATTCATCTCATCTCTTGTATCATCATTCCATCATCATTCTATCTCTATCAATTCTATCCTGTATCTCTATCATCCTTGTCCTATTCCTACTCTCATATCCTATTCTCTCATCATCTATCTCTATTCATCTATTCTATCTCTATCTATTCCTATCTCATCTCTGTATCTCTATCTCTATCTCTATCTCTATCATCTCATTCCTATCTCATCTCGTATCTCTATCTCTATTCTATCTCTATCTCATATCCTATCTCATCTCTATCTCGTATCTCCCTATCTCTATCTCATTCTATCTCTATCTCTGTATCTCTATCTCTATCTCATCCCATCTCCCATCTCTATCTCATCCTATCTATCTCTATCTCTATCTCTGTATCTCTATCTCTATCTCTGTATTCTATCTCTATCATATCCCATTCTCATCTCTATCTCTATCTCATCTCTCTTGTATCTCTATTCATTCTATCTCTATCTCTATCTCATCAATCTCTATCTCTATCTTCTATCTCTATCAATTCCATCTCTATCTCTATCTCTGTATCTCATCTCTATCTCCTATCTTATCCTATCTCATCTCTATCTCTATCCTATGTATCTCTATCTCTATCTCATCTCTATCTCTCGTATTCCTATCTCTATCTCTATCTTCATCTCTATTCTATCTCTATCTCTATCTCTTGTATTCTATCTCTATCATTCATTCTATCTCTTCATTCTGAATTTATAACCCCAGGGAATGGGGAATGAGAGTATGCCATCTAGAATGGGAATTCCAGGAATTTATAACCCCCGGGAATGGGAATCAGGGTATAACCCCAGGAATGGGGAATGGGAGGTAATGCCATCTGGGAATGGGAATTCCAGGGAATTTATAACCCCAGGAATGGGAATCCAGGAATTTATAACCCCAGGAGTGGGAATGGGGTATGCTATCTGGGAATGGGAATTCCAGGGAATTCAGCATCCCAGGGAATGGGGAATCCAGGGAATTTATAACCCCAGGGAATGGGGAATGGGGGTAATGCCATCTGGGAATGGGAATTCCAGAATTCAGCATCCAGGATGGGAATCCAGAATTACCCTAGGGAATGGGGAATGGGGGTAATGCCATCTGGATGAGATCCAGGGATTCCTTTTGGGGAATGGGGAGTGGGGATGGGCAAATCTGAATGGGAATTCCAGAATTTATAACCCCAGGGGAATGGGGAATGGGGTAATGCCATCTGGGAATGGGAAATCCAGGGAATTCAGCACCCCAGGGAATGGGGAATGGGGGTAATGCCATCTGGGAATGGGAATTCCAGGGAATTCAGCATCCCAGGGAATGGGGAATCCAGGGAATTTATAACCCCAGGGAATGGGGATAGATGTAATGCCATCTAGGGAGATGGAAATCCAGGGTATAACCCCAGGAATGGGAATGGGGGTAATGCCATCTGGGAATGGAAATCCAGGAATTTATCAAGCCCCAGGGAATGGGAAATAGGGAATTCAGCACCCCAGGAAATGGGGAATGGGGGTAATGCCATCTGGGAATGGGAGATCCAGGGAATTTATAACCCCAAAGAATGGGAAATCCAGGGAATTCAGCACCCCAGGGAATGGGATATCCCAGGAATTCAGCATCCCAGGGAATGGGGGTAATGCCATCTGGGAATGGGAAATCCAGGGAGTTCAGCACCCCAGGGAATGGGGAATCCAGAATTCAGCACCCAGGGAATGGGAGTAATGCACATCTGGGAATGGGAATTCCAGGGAATTTATAACCCCAGGGAATGGGGAATGGGGGTAATGCCATCTGGGAATGGGAAATCCAGGGAATTTATCATCCCATAGGAATGGGGAATGAGAAATGGGGAATGGGGGGAGGTAATCCCATCTGGGAATGGGACCAGGACAGAGGGGCCAGGGCTGGGAATTCGGGAACCCCCGAGCGAAGAAGGGAGAGCCCATCCCGAGGTGGGAATGAGGCCCCCCTAAAACGAGACCCCCCCATCCTATCCCATCCCATCAATCCTATCCCATCCCATCCCATCCCTGTATCCCATCCCATCAATCCCATCCCTGTATCCCATCAATCCCTGTATCCCATCCCTGTATCCCATCCCATCCCATCCCTGTATCCCATCCCTGTATCCCATCCCTGTATCCCATCCCATCCCTGTATCCCATCAATCCCATCCCTGTATCCCATCAATCCCATCAATCCCTGTCTCCCATCAATCCCTGTCTCCCATCAATCCCTGTATCCCATCCCTGTATCCCATCCCTGTATCCCATCCCTGTGTCCCATCCCTGTGTCCCATCCCTGTATCCCATCCCTGTATCCCATCCCTGTGTCCCATCCCTGTGTCCCATCCCTGTATCCCATCCCTGTATCCCATCAATCCCATCCCCGTATCCCATCCCTGTATCCCATCAATCCCATCCCATCCCTGTATCCCATCCCTGTATCCCATCCCTGTATCCCATCCCTGTATCCCATCAATCTCAGTATCCCATCCCTGCATCCCATCCCTGTATCCCATCAATCCCATCCCATCCCTGTATCCCATCCCTGTATCCCATCAATTCCATCCCATCCCTGTATCCCATCCCTGTATCCCATCAAGTCTCCATCCATCCCTGTATCCCATCCCTGTATCCCATCCCTGTATCCCATCAATCCCATCCCATCCCTGTATCCCATCCCTGTATCCCATCCCTGTATCCTATCAATTCCATCCCATCCCTGTATCCCATCCT